GGTTGTAGTGTGGCAGCTGTATATCGGGATTCCACGTAGTCTGCGTGCGCATGGCGTTGTCGCGCCATAGCTGCTTGCTCGGGAGCTGAAAGGGCAAAGACGCGGGGCTGGGCCAACGCAACCTCTTGTTTCGTCCTTGGCAGTTTATCTCGCAGTCGAAGATAGTTGTATGCGTCGTCAACAATGACATGAGCGTTGGTACCGCCAAATCCAAAGTTGTTGATTGAGCATCTTCGCACTTCACATTCCGGCCATGGTATCGAGGATGTAGGTACAACCATGTTATGAGAGTCAAGCATGAGCCGAGGGTTCACTGTCGCAAGGTTGAGATTGGGAGTAATTACACCCTTCTCAAGGCAGAGAACGGATTTGATGAGAGCTGCCATACCAGCTGCCGCTTCTGTGTGCCCAACTCTGGACTTGACCGAGCCACAATAAAGCGGCTCGCCTCGGGCAGTAGCGATCGTGTGGGAAATTGCGCGAACCTCTGCACTATCACCAGCTTTCGTGCCGGTCCCGTGAAGCTCCACGTACTGGGTGTCAGCCGGGTCGAGATTAGCCATGCGATATGTGTTGACTATCAACCTCGCTTGAGCCTCCGCACTTGGCAGGGTAATGCCGGCAGTCTACCAGATGAATTGTTAGCACCCATTTCGCTTCTAAAAGCCTCTAGACCGTCTCCGTTGTACGCACCCTGCCGTCTGAGTTGAGGCCAGTGCCGCGAATTACGGCCCGGATAGGGTCACCGTCGCGTAGCGCATCGTCTACATGTTTCAAAACAATCATGGCTACCCCCTCTCCACGCGCATAGCCATCTGCTCGTGAGTCGAAGGAGAAGCAACGGCTGTTTGGGCTGAGAAACCCAAGGGCGTTGAGGCCACAATAGTCGTCGGGCTCCAAGATGAGGTTTGCGCCGCCTACCAGCGCACAGCGGGTTGGACTGCTGTTAGATCGTATCGTCTCGCAAGCTATGTGCAAGGCAGCCATAGAACTAGAACATGCCGTGTCGCAAGTGACTGACGGGCCTCGCAAGTTGCTATCCAACATTACTATAAGTTCAGCGCATCGGCTGGTCACGATTAAGACTTACTAGAACCAACTGATACGGTTAGAAAGAATGGAGAGCGCCGTGCCCGTCTTCGCATATTGTGGCGTAGTATGTATGTCTCTTGATACAATGGACTTGTAGTCTTCGGAGAACGCACCCACAAAGCAGGCGGCATCGGTGTTCGCAATGTCTGTGATCGGGATGCCAGCACTTTCTAAGCTCTCGTACGCAAGTTCAAGAAGCAGGCGTTGTTGAGGATCGTAGGAACGGGCTTCGGAAGCTGAACATGTAAAGAACGGGGCATCCCATTTGGACACGTCTTGCTCTAAGAAATAACCACCCTCGCAGACCTGGGCAGCTGTTGTCAGCAAAAAGGCGAGAACATCCTTGGGTCTATTTTGGGCGCGGCGTTTTCATTACCATGCTTCCACTGCGATCTTTCGATGGGTGCCGAAATGCTTCTACATTGAAGCGTGAAGGAGGAACCTTGGTCCAAGCATCTTTTCCTTTTTGTAACATTTCATGCAAGGCCTCTGGTGACTTCGCATCGCCGGCGAAGCGGCATGCCATGCCAATAATTGCGATGTCTCCAGAAGCCATTGTGATGGTTTTCTCAGCAATCCTGAGGCGAACTTGGCGACTCGAAAACAACAAGGACGAAGGGGGGATATAAAAGAAAAAGCAAAAGAAGGAAACAAGGAAGGAGCGAAAGAGCAAAAGTAAGAAAGAATATACTGAAGCCTGTCAAATGATCAGGTTTGAAGTAATAGGCTCTCCTGTAGAAGTCCACAGGAGCGCGCGGCTTGATTATGAGGTCGACTCGACAAGGAGTCTATGTCAAGCCCTGATTCCTAGCTCGTATTTCATGGACAAATGGGAGAACGGGAACAACCATAATAAACAGCTGCGAGAATTCTATTCAGCCGTGTTTATAAGGTTTGAATACCGATCGTCACGATGTCGGACGGTCGTCATTTAAAGCACTAAAGATAGCGACTATCTTAACAGGTTGTCCAGCTTCTTGCGAGGGGACAGCGTTCAGTGATTGCTAATTACCGTGGCTATATGGAAAGGGTTTAACGCGAGCACCAGACCAAACTGAAAGGCAAGGCTAATGGGCTGCGTCTGTCGGCGATAATTTCCGTCCCTTTAGGACGATGAACCTGGATATCCCTATAGAGCGGATACAAGGGATGAGGCACATAACGGCCACAATGTTTGCTTCAAAGGGCTTTTAGCTTTCTATTCGTGTTAATAGTGTAAAGGTTTAGTACGTAATCCTGTTTGCCTCGTTTCAAGTGCCAGGGAGTATGTCGATCACATTCTTCTTGTTGTCAAAATATCCCAGTGGCTGAAAGGGAGGTTGGCGTTTTTGGGGCCTGATTCAACAAGCTTGGCGGGTTGCACCGCATATACTCCTTGCAGTTTGATACCATGGCTACGATTCATAGTGGCAAGGGTCCAATCGCCGGACGCAAGGGAGAATTCTACGCGTGATGGTTTTGTACGGTTCATTTCCGATTCCTAGAAGAGTCCTGGTCGCCCAAAGGTGCACTCAAACGACATCAGTCGAGTACGATTACAATTGCTTCGACCTTATTCCTCCTTTTCTCTGCGGAATACTTCGCGGCACTCCTTAAGTATGACCATATCTGGTGCTACTTATTCATCTCACGCTGGCAGAACCACCCGCAAGTTCTCTCGCGGCCAGGCAGACGACTATATATATCCAGTGCACCTACTTGATGGTGCCGAGTACCAACATTGCATCCTGACGTTATTCATTAAATTCAATGATATCCTAGATGCTGAGAAGATCAAGGACTCTCTCACACGACTGCTAGAAATTGGCGATTGGAAAAAGTTAGGCGGCCGATTCAGAACGAAGGTAGATGGCCGGAAGCAAAGCAAAGCACTCGAAATCCATGTCCCCAGAAAATACACTGCCGAGCGTCCAGCGATCCAATTTGCCTATGAAGCATACAACTCGAGCATTTTCGAGCACCCTTTAGGCCGCCAGCTTCCTCAATCTTCAAATGATGGAGTTGCAATTAGCCCACCTCTGGACGAGCTTCGGCCATTCGGCCATGCCCCTGGATTCCCCATGACTATGGCTGACCTGGTAGACAAGGACGCTCCGCAGCTCTGTTTCAAAGTTATCGGGTATACCGATGCGACAATTTTGGCCATCACATTTTGTCATTGCACATGGGACGTTTCAGGTCTGCAAGGCTTCCTGAAGTCGTTGGAGCTCGTGCTAGACGGACGAGAGGACGAAGTGCCACCGATGCTGGGTGCAAACACTGACATACTCCCAGAACTGATTGGTCACTATGACGTCTCCCATCGAGATGCTGAATCATTGAACGTACCAGAAGAGAAAGAGGCGATGGAGCAGCCACAGACGTCGAATACAGCCCTGGAACAACGCATAATCCGGGTTCCGTTGGGAAATATGGAACGTCTACATAACCGTGTTGCGATGGAGAGTCCCATGGACGACGAAGAGGCTTTGTCAACATACCAACTGGACGAGCTCTTCCTGGCCTTGATTGTGCAGCAAATCGCCAGAGCGCAGCCCGAACCACGCGCGCTAAGGTTGCTCAACGTTTTCAACGCGCGGCTGGTTGTGCCACGCCTAGCCAAAGCAAGGGGTGTTTACAGCCAGAATCTGGTCCTCCTCACCCCTCAAACCTTGTCGAATGAGGCCGCAACAGGGCCAATGGGGCAAATTGCACTGGCGCAGCGAGAATGCTTCGCGCAGTCTGCAGAGCCTGAAAGTATAACGAGGTCCCTTCATATGGTGTTAGGCGCTATTGAAGCCGAGCTTGATATCACGCGATTGACTGACTGCAACGATGCAGAGTCGGTTCTTGTAAACAACTTGGTCCGCCTCTCCAACTACATTGACCTCGACCTCAGTTCAGCGGTCGTTCGCCAGGGCGAAATCTCGGCGACGAGAAGAAACGGACTGGGTACTGCCGACTCATGCTATTTGACTCTGCCTCCCAACTCGTACGGCATGATGCGAGTTACCACCCTGGGAAGTTACAATGGCAATTCGTGCTGGATGATTGGGGAACTGCCCGCACGGGCTTGGGAGTTAATTTACGAAGCTTTGGACGAGCTGGAATGGTGATCATAGGAGAGGGTCTAATGAAATATGTATAGACTAATTTGAGAATAGAATTTGCCACTATTGCGGGAAATAAGAATTGATGCAAGGAATGGCTACGCACTATAGGAACGGAGGTGGCTAGTCAAACTTGCCTCTAATAAGGAGGCCCGAGCACGGATGAAGGGATCGCTTTCGAACAAAACTAGTATAAATTGAGGCTCAGTGTCAATTTACTACCCCTTGCAGTACAATATGTATAAATACATTGATGAACGAGAAGCCATGCAGTGTCTCACTCGGCGAAATCACATCTGAACTTAGATACTGGAGTAAACCTTCTACTTTGAAGTTTATTATTCATTATTTTCCGATCTAAGGTTTTGTGGGTTCGATGTAGGTATTTTAAACCAGGAATCTATCTTAACAACAAGGTGCCTATATACCTAGAAATTCAACATCTGAACTTCAACAGGTCAGCTAAGAAAGTTTTGATTGATTGACAGACACTTGTATAGACTGTAAATACCATCAGTGCCCCATATGTAAGACCTATATACGTTAGACGCCTTTGTCCAATGTCAGCCTACTGTGAAGCGACAACCAGATCGACTCGGTGGTTCGTTATCCTTTCGCTGAGCTTCCATTAACATCCTGGCAGCCCATTATGCACTAACACTATAGAGCAGGTAAGTAGAACATCAAGGCAGCTCTGTGGGAATAAGGCATGACACATACGTATTGTCCACCATCGACCCTTAACATTATGCCCCTAAAGTCACGTGTAAGCCAACGGTAATACCATCTCGTCTGAGAGCATTGGGTAAAAGCGTACGTCTGGAAATCATTGAAGTACGGTGATACAAGATACAGGCAACCCTTGGCGATGTCCAATGGTGTGACCATGCGCTGCACAGGAGCTTCTGTAGCTTGCACCTTCGCCATGTCAGCGCTGAACTCCTCGCCCACGAACTCGGATACGAGGGCTGTGTTGCCTAGTGATGGTGAGATGCCATTGACGCGGATCCCCCGATTTGAGTATTCCGCTGCAAGTCCTCGTGTGAGCAAGTCCACGGCCCCCTTGGTGGCGTTATAGTACAGCAAGCCGCTGGTCGGTTTGGATGTGACACACGAGGAAATATTGACAATGCTTCCACGGCCTTGCTTGAGAAAATGGGGCAAGACCGCATTAATAGAATGGTAGATACTTTTCACATTAATATCAAAGATACCTTCTATGCGTTAGCATCCTCGCCCGAGTATTATCCATCATCTGATCTCCTCACGCTCATATCCTGCTTCAGTCACATCTAAAGAGTCTTTCCGGCGATAGGTCCATCCCGCGTTATTCACCAGGATGTCCACTTTGCCGAATTGAGCCAGAGTCGTGTCCACTGCCGCTTGCCAGTCAACTGCCTTTGTTACATCGGCTTCGATAAAAGTGGCTACAAGGCCAGCTGCTGTGATATTTGCCGCCACCCTGCCACAGATAAGCCCAGAGCACTACAGTGTGATATCATCATAGTACATGCCTTTGCCCCCCTTCTTGGTTGATATCAAGAATGACAACATTAGCGCCTTCCTCGGCAAAGAGGTGAGCAATGCCCTCCCCGAATCCTAACTCTGAGTCAGCGGTATAGATTGCGGTGATTACTGCCTATAGTCATAGTCATACCGCTACCACCACCAGTAACGAGGGCAACAAGACCGTCAAGAAGCTTTTGGGGAGCCATTGCGGTTACGAATCGAAAATAGAGGTCGAACTGTGAATAGTAACAGCAGGGTAGAACCTGATTGTGATACGCGATGGATCTATTTATTTACTAGCTGCCTCTTTTCGTGCAGGAGAGTCAATATGTGAAGCTTCGAAATATTAACCGGACGGTAGAAAGTTTCAGATACCTCACTGGAAGCTCTGAGTAGTCCGGGTATGTTTCAACACATATTCTTATCCGTATAATTGGGCATTTGGGAAGAGCAGATTGACGGACATGATGCGTTGCGGGGATGCTTATCGATCGCGGGGAGGTGGGTTAATGCCCCGGCTAAAGGGTACATCCGGACTGTGTTCACACACGGGGTCTCAAAGTTAGCGAATATTTATCTGGCTAGTCTTTGAAGAATAGTGATGAGAGGAGAGATATTGTCTGTGTTTTGTTTTATTTCGCTATAGTTTGTGCAGTTCAACTGTGCGTTCCCTTACGCTTTTGATTATATATTTTACCAAGAGGGGGAGAATAGTACAAGGACATCCCCACAACACCAAGTCACCATGGGAGCAGACAACGTCACGACAATTCGCTGGGGGATTATGGGTAAGGATTGCTAAAGACCCTCCGACTGGATACATAGCACTTGCTTACCATAATTAGCAACGGGGGAGATTGCCAAACTCTTCGTCAAGGACCTCCTCATCGACCCGGCCACGCGTGGAACACGATATTCGACATGTTGTAACTGCCGTGGCTTCCAGTTCATCTAAAGCGTCCGCAGAGCTATTTATTCAGCAGAATATCACACCGGTAATGTCAAGAGATATCAGCTGCACGGCATACGGATCATACGAGGAGTTGGTCACAGACGCCAACGTGGACGTGCTGTATATTGCAAGCCCGCACTCCCACCATTACCAAAACTGCATGCTAGCACTCGAAAACTCCAAGGCGATCCTTTGCGAGAAGCCCCTCACGGTGAATGCAAAACAGGCGAAGGTGCTCTACGAAACAGCCCAGCGTCAGAACCTCTTCTTGATGGAGGCGGTTTGGACGCGTTATTTCCCTCTCAGTACTGCGGTGCGCCAATACATCCGAGACGGCCTGATTGGCGAAGTGCTGCGCGTCTATGTAGACAATTCTACCGGGGTGGACATTTCCAATCTGAGCTCTACCCACAGGTACCTAGACAAGGAGCTAGCTGGAGGTGCTCTGTTGGATATTGGTATTTATCCTTTGATATGGGTCTTTCAGACACTATATCATACGCGAGAGAAACATCAGCGACAGAAGCCAAGCCAAGTCGTGAGTCTGCTCACATACGAAAAGTCTTCCCGTACCGACCAAATGGCATCGGTTATGGTGGAGTTCCCATCCTCGACACCATCGGGAACCTCTGTGGCCCACGGCATTATGTCTACCTCAATGATACTTTCGAATGACGCAGACGGAAAAGGGTCGTCAGGTACCGCAGTGCGCATACAGGGGCTGGAGGGGGAGATCCAGATCCTCGGCCCTGTTCACCGGCCGGAGTCCGTGAAGATTATCCGCAAAGGGGAATGCAGGACGGTCCATTTTGAGATTCCGGCTGGCGGCCATGGTATGTACTGGGAGGCTGATGAGGCCGGACGGTGTATTCGGGACGGCAAGATTCAGAGCGAAGTCATTCCGTGGGACGAATCGGTGGCCATCATGGAGGTGGTGGATGAGATCCGGGCACAAGCGAATTATTCATACCCTGAGCAGATTGAATCGACGGAGTATCCCCTTAGTTTAAAGAAGAAGGCTCTGTGATGTCATTAGGAGTGGGCAAACGATCACAAATTTGACATTTATTCAATTATTCCTTAATCCATGTCTTGTAAAAGATTGTGTTCTGCTAATAGAGCAGGTTACTTCAAATAGAGTCTTGTAGTTCACGCAGGTATTGGGCCAATTTCCTTTTCATAATATATGTTGGAGGCCGACGTCCGGTCCAGAACTCGAATTGGGCAGAGGCTACTTCAATAAAGATTTCCAAACCCGGTACACCAATCCAGCCTTGATGTGAGCAGATGCGATGAAGCTCCGGAGACGGTAAAGTACTGTTGTAGGCGAGCTCTAAGTAGACACCTCCAGTTGGACTCTTTAACCACGCCGTTGGCACCGACACGGCCGGTTCGAATTCGACCCTATTCTGTTCCCGAAGTGGTGCTGGCATAATGCGGTCTCCAGGGATCGGCGAGCAGTTCACGATTACTGTGGGTAAGCGTAATTTACTCGGCCAAGGGTCCTCCAGTGAATGGAAGATGGATATCGTCGCCCGCTTGCCCTGGGTTTGCTCGGTTTTATCAGTCGGGTCTCCGCTACTGCTGCGATACATCCCCTCGAAGTGATCCACGAGATCCACGGCGTGTTCGGGGGTTCTATTATAAATTAGTATATGCCGGATACCAGACTGGATCAGGGCGTAAACGGCTGCCCGCGCCATTCCGCCAGCACCGATGACCAGTGCTGTAGATACTGGTGTAACGGCATTTACTGGAGACAGATGGCGGAGAGCACAGGCTCTGATACCCTTCCAATCAGTATTTTCTCCATGAAGGGCAAGCACGGGGCCGGCTCGATTGCGTTGCTCAGCTATACAGAGCTGGTGAGGTAAAGTACTGTCGGCTACCTTCTCTTGCCCCAAGTTCCGTATAGGCAAAACGGTGTTGACAGCTCCAATAAACCGAGCGTCGGAGCTCATAGATTTCAAGTAAGGAATGATAGCCGTCTTGAATGGAGAAGACAGCCCCAAGCCACCCAGGTCATCATCCCGCATTAAGCCCTTGAGGGCCTCAAATGTATCTGTTTGCAGAATAGAATAGATATGAGGCATGCCGTAGACATCAAACGCAGAGTTATGTAAAATCGGCGCGACACTGTATCGCACGTTCGATCCCATAACGAAGAATCGCAATGGCTCGCAATTAAATGAGGCAAAGAGTGCAGCCTGCACTTGGGGTATGGTGATTGTTCCTGGCTCTTTCTTAATCACATCTGGGTGAGCAACTGGTGTCAGTAACTTATTGAAGCACTGTGAAGGTCGGCCCAGGCGATTTGTGTTATATGCAGACACCGGTAGTGGGCCACTAGTGTTCATGCTGTGAGCAAAGCACTGAGCGGCGGCATTATCAGAAAGCGTAATGGCGGGTTGAGTAAGTTGCACAATATCACAGCCCATATCAACTGCCTTACGATACAACTCCAGTGGATGTTGTCCTGTCCAACCCCCTGTCCGCATTGGGTCCGAATCGTAAAACCAGCCAACAATTTTGGAATGTCCCTTTTGGGCTGTGATGGCTTTGATTTGAGTTTCGTCTTGTCCCAGGTCGACCGTGACGAATTCAGCCCCGACCCTGAGGCCTAGCTGAATGATGTCAAGATAATCTGGTTTGAGTGGGGAGGGTGAATATCCTGAGGTCGCATGGTATAATATGGGTTGTGTTGTATGCCTCCGGAGAAATGCCAATTGGTCCACGACATATTCCCACCAATGATGACCAGTAGTATCCGTATCTAGATATCCCTGGACCAATAAATCAACCTGGACTTGGAGAACATCCGCGCAGCATGCTATCCAATCTAATTCGAAACCACAAACTTTGAAGTCACGAAAGGGGAGTTGAAGCGAGTAGGTGAAGACGTTCCAGTCTCTGCTAATGCCGATCTTCTCATCTCCCTCGTCATATACACTGCGCAGGAACCGCAAGAAGTCTGACTCAACATGTTTGAGAGACAGAGACCGATACGTAGGCCGTTCTGAAGATGGGATCAGGGCCTCGAAGAACGCCCCATGATCTGATTCGACCTCAGATCGCAAGCTTGGGTCATCTCGATTGAAGAAAGTGCGGTTCGAACAAGACAAGTAAACCGGCTCCTGTTCGCGCAGAACTTTGATGACATCCCCTTGCCATTTGCTTTGTAGGTTGGCCTGGAGCACTTGCCTGTCTCGCATGACATGCACAATTGGAACTGTCGCAAGGTACTCTCGTAGTAGATCCTGGCCCGCCTGTGTCTGGACACAGGACGAACTACACACGATGATGCAGCGCCGCTGATTTTGTGCGAGAATGGTATTTAGCACTGTGACTTCTTGGGCACAGTAGGCATGGTGGCCATATTTCTCGATATACCCAGCGACTGAATACCCGGTTACTTTTTCGAACTGCAGCTTTTCGTCAATGACCTTCCACTTGAGGGCTCTGGAGGCTATAGTGGCCAGCGACGACTTTCCCGCACATCGCATGCCAACTAAGACCAGGGACGCATCTTTTGCGATGCTCGGCGGCATAGCGATCCAGCCGGCTATCAATGACAGGCTGAGTAGGAAATAACAGCGCACCAATCCTCTTACAAACTCCTGTTCGCTGGAAAGTACGACCAACCTTGTAAGCTTCGAGGAATAACGCATCGGCACAGTACAAATCTGAGCAGGCTACAGAGCCACCGGCCCCACATTCCCATACGACATCGACTTTGCTAATCTCCCCCGGAAAGACATTATTTCCGGCTACTCACGGCACTAGTTCTCCAACGTCAAGCCTCCACGTCCATAAAGTGTATTGAGACTATGGGGAGCATTGTGCCGATTGCATACTCGAGGTTGGATAACAGAACTCGAGGTCCTTTCGCATGGTGGTGTACGTGGTGGCGCAAGCCCAGCCGGCGTCGCGGCTAAAACCATTTTCCCGCCCAACACGACGGGGTCATAGCGAGGGTCACGGACTTGAGGAATGTAAATCCCATTCAGGGACGAAACGTGTTATTTGCTGATGTTGTCTGGGCCTCGGAGGTTTGTCGGGAGACAGTACAAACGTACAGGCTACTACTAGTGGAAATATGTGCGAGAGTCTACGGATGTTCTGACATACCAGACACTGTGCCCAGGGAAGCAGCTTCGATACTATCCTTATTTCCTCACGATTGGACTGGTCGTAAAATAGTCACAATTCATTTATCTACCCTCTGGCTCTGTGATCCACGTCTCACCTCCGGGTTGTAGCCCTGTGGCCAAAATGTCTCTCTACAAAAAACTACCGACCCATGATGCCTCCGTCAATGTAGATGCTCTCCCCCGTTATGAAATCACTCGCACGGCTTGCAAGGAAGACAGCTAGGCCGCGCAAGTCCTGTGGCTCTCCCCATCGGCCCATGGATGTTCTCGCTACAACCCTGGCGGAGAATTCCTCATTGTTGTACAGATCCTCGCACATCTTGGTATGAATGAAACTAAGGATCCGGATGAGCTCGAGTCAATAGAGAAAAACAGGAGCAAGGACGATAGACTACTCACCCTGGACATATTGCGTTACACGTTATACCCCGGCCAGCCCACTCGTTACTAACGGCTCTTGTCAGATTCTGCACAGCAGCCTTGCTACTGCAATATGCAGAAATATTTGTCTGAGCAAGAAAAGAAGCGATGGAAGCAAAGTTGATGATCTTCCCCGGCCGCTTCAAGCGAAGCAGCTCTCTTCCAAATTCTTGAATGCACAGATAGGTCCCTCGAAAATTGATAGACATCACCTTAGAGGAAGTTTAGAGATAATATGTCCCTGATTAAGGCGAACGGCAAGATAGTACTTACATCATCCAGGTCCTGGACAGGCGTATCCTCGATCAGCATATGTCTGGTAATGCCGGCGCAGTTGACCAAGATGTCCGGAATACGCCCGACTTCCATATGGCAGCAAAGGTGTCATGGATAGACTGTTGATCTTTGAGATTGCACTCAAATACAGTGATATGATGGTTCGTTGCCTCGATGGCACGACGTAGCTCTAGGCTCGACGGATCTCGGGGTATCTCGATAGAGATAATGTTGGCACCTGCCTCTGCCAGGGCTATGGAAATCTCCAGCCCAATTCCTCCTGTAGCACCCGTGATAACCACAGTTTTATCTTGCAGGGAAAATGATTCGAGAATAGAGCTAGGCATTTTGAACTAAAAGCATGCAGGGTCCGTATGTGAGGAATTTCTGGGGTTTTGAAAGGATAACGCTGGGCTTTAATAAGTCGCTTCCCACGCGGTATAGAAGCCCGTATACGGCTGAACAATCTTGTTTCAAGCACGATTATGCTTGTATAATGATTTGGCAACGAGTGTATCGCTCGTCAGTCAGGGTGGTGGCGGAGACGAAATATCCGCCTTTACGAGTAAGAACTAAAAGCTCACATTCAAATCGGATGCATCCTTATCCGTGGGTCATGTTTCCATAATGGCACTCTCAATTTGCCCTGCTGAGAGAGTCTCGTATGATGTTGTTCACTTTTGTTTTAACTTCGCATATCTTGTTAGTGGTGTTGGCATCAGGAAGGAGAGATTGGACTGCTTATGTCCAAATGGCCAGAGGTACTTTTATGTGAACGGCAAATACTGGTTGCTGGTTGATATCGTATGTGGCTGAAGTTGTATACTTCACAGTAGAACGAGGACACTCCTTATCAACATTATTATCGTTGAACTCATAGTCTACTTCTCTCTACATGGAGACGAGAAGGCTGATGAGAGCTTCAATACAATTAAAATTCAAAACCGACATGCCCATAGGAAGATGGCAATCCTGAGAGTCAAATCAATACTGCCCGCACCACCTCCACATATCTGATTTCCACAATACGTGATATTACGCCAGTAAAACTACCCCCAAGAAGGACTTATTTGATAGTTGCCCTGGCCACCGCTGCGGCCTCCTCTTCCTGGACTAATCGTTCCGTCATCTCAAACACCTTCTCCATTTCAATGGCCTCCCCTGTCCAGAATTTCCATTGACATGAGAACTGAGAAGCAACCACTGTGTAGCCTTGTATGACTCTATAACCGTGTTGGATTGCGAGTTTTAAGTTCCTCGTCATGGGTGGATGATAGCACATATCCAGTAAGATTCCTCTTGGTGACGAGCTTCGCGATAGAAATTCGACCAAGATATCCCGTGCTTGGAGTTCATCTGGAGTGACTGCCTCGAAGTCCGGGATAGTAGACACAATGAAGTAAGGCGTAGGCAGAGCTTTGGACTCCGTCACACTCCGGACATGAACTAACTCCGGGCGATACAAGTCACCTTGTCGCTGTACGTCATCGAATAAGTCTGCAACCTCCTGGCTGTCTCGATTAACCACGTAAATCTTGTCGCATTTCAGCTTCGCCCACAAGGCGTAGATTGCTGCGCGACTGGCGCCGCCTGCTCCGTACACCATGCCTGTCATACCGGGAGCGTGGCTCGGACTGTGCGGGAGGATAGAATCGTAGATGCCCACCCAGTCTGTATTTGTGCCACACAATTGCCCATTTTCTGCGAGATAAACAAAATTGCATGCCCCCAGTATCTTTACCAGGTGGTCACAGTAATCGAGCTGAGGAATGATGGTTCTTTTGTGAGGCATTGTCACGATCCCACCGGCGAAATCGGGCGCCCGAAAGTATCGCATAGCCTCGTCGACAGAGGCTAGCTGCAAGAACTCACATGTCCACGGAAGCCCAAGCGACTTAGCTATGTATTCGTGAACTTTGGGGCCGATGGAACTGCCGCCGGGACCGCCAGCGATGTACAGGCGATCTCTACCCAATCTGGCATACATGATGGACAGTATGAGTGTAGTCGCTGTTTGTACAAGGCTTTAGGAAGTAGTGGAGGTAGAACTGTATTGTTTCTAGCTGTTTCTTCAGAGGCAAGTCACGGTGGTCTTGAATATACGCTCGACCCAGATAAGATGTCTGTCTGCGTTCGCTCAACCTCGGCAAGCACGGGAAATGCATCAACCGACTGGCAATCACGTTTGTTCGAAATGAGATGGTGAATGTATTTACCCGAACGTCTTTGGATCATGGCAACAACGATTATAAGAGAACATTGCAAGATAAATGTGTGGTTATTCAAGCTCACTTCAGCGCGTTATCGTTCGCTACAGGCACCATGTCGTTCCAGCCAGCAATCGCTTCACCCTCACTCGGCCACCAGACGGTACATCCGATTACTTCAAGATTGGAAGCTGCAGTATCGCATAGTTTCAAGCTCATTGAGTTGGTTGAAGATGATCTGACCTTCTATGCCAGAGACCACCTGGGTGAAGTGAGCGACAGCACGATGATTCAGGCTGCCATCGACATCAAGAGAACCTGCGACAGACTGAAGATCAAGCCTTGTGTTCTTCAACCGTTTTGGTTCTACGAGGGCTTACTTGATCCCAAAGAACATGCGGCTCGGATTTCCAAGTTACGGTTATGGATGCACCTAGTCAGGATTCTCGGTATACGAATTGTTCAAGTTCCTACCAACTGGATGAAGAAAGGCACAACGGGCGATGTTGATGCTATTGTCAAGGATTTCATGGAGATGGCCTCGATTGGACTTGAGCAAGATCCACCTGTCCTCTTCGCGTATGAGGGTGTAGCGTGGGGCACGCATATCGACACCTGGCAAGGGACTTGGGAGATTGTTAAGCGTGTCAACATGCCCAATTTCGGGCTTTGCTTGGATACCTACCACATTGCCGCGCGTGTCTGGGGAGATCCAACAGCCCCTGGTTGCAAACAGCCCGGCGGTGACGAAGCCCTCAGGAAGTCGATGGAAGAACTAGCTACGACGGTTGACGTCAACAAGGTCTTCTATGTACAATTGTCAGATGCGAAGCTACTGGATCAGCCCCTTGTCGAGGGCCACCGTTTTTACGACGAGGAACAACCGCCACGAATGTCTTGGTCGAGAAATGCTCGCCTGTTTCCCTGGGAGAAGGGCCAAAGCGGATGCCTCCCGCTTGGGCCCGTTCTTGATGCTATTTTCAATTCTTTGGGATTTGATGGACTTGTTACAGTGGAGATGTTTTCAAAAGAACTGTTTCAAGACGACCCGAAGGTGCCAGACAGGTTTGCGACCAGGGCCAAGCAGAGCTGGTGTACGGCAATGCAAAGGATAAATCACCTATAGTAATTAATTGAAAACGTTGCTTTCATTCGAAATGTTGTAATCCAGATCCCTTGCAATAGAAACTAGGTATCGTGGATTGCAGTAAGAGAATATATCTATCTGCCATATTAGATCAGGTCAGTGTAGCAACCTGAACCCACCTAGCAAGATCGACGAACACATTGCTAAAGGAGATTCCCAGTATCACCAAGCGAATACAAAGACTATATGCTTTGGGTTGATCTATGTCCTGCAGACTGTTGTCCTTTATGACGAATCGTCAGGGGAATATATTTTCTACATTAGTAACTGACGACGGACTTGCATGAAACGGAAAGAGAAGGAAAATTTTGGCTTTCAGTGGATATAAACGACCAAGTGTTAAACCAGTAGAAAGATTGAGTTGTGGAGCCTAGTGTAGGTCCATATAGGACAACTATAGTAGTTTATCCGTACTATTAGCGGCAACAATACCCAGACAATCGGGAGATATCAATAGCCGTATGAGTCCCACAATTTGGGGGGTTGCTCCATGCGCCACCTCGAAACAAGTAACCATTTCTAACCCCCATTGGGTCGGTTTTAACCATCATAAAATATCTGCCGTATTTCTCCCGAAAGTGCTATGCCGTTATATTACGGAAAAGTTTTTCCTTTGATTCTCAAGGCGGTCTTGTCCTGCGAGTTGATCCTGTGTCCGATATATAACTCCACCTTCCGTATTTCAGCGTACCGTAGCTGAGATACTATAAGTTCTTTGAGAGCCAATATATCACACCGAGGGGCTATGAGTGTCCACAGGGCTTCATATGAGACATACTGCGGGCTATTAACATGGAAGGCTGTATGATATGGAAGGAGTATCGACATTTCACGCGACATTCAGGCCGGTAAATTATAGATGATGTTGTACCTTAGATTTCAACCGTGCGCCCATCCGGAATAATGTCCGAGGATGAGATTACAAATCCACATCAACCTCTGGTGACGTAGAAGGGTGTCTTTCCCCTGATATAAACATTGGCCAGTTTGGCTATCCAGTCCTTTCAAGCTTCTACCCGATTCATTCGTACACATAATACTACCGACGTCATGTCTCAGAATGGAAAATACGCCCTCGTCTTTGGGGCCTCGGGGATTTCAGGATGGTCTCTCTTGAATCAATGTCTTAGCTACCCCACATCCTCCTCTTTTCGACGCGTGGTTGGTCTTTGTAATAGACCTCTCAAAAAGGAAGATACATATCTCCCTAACGACCCTCGACTAGACATTGTTTCAGGCATCGACCTTACGCTATCAGTGTCATCTGTCAGTGGTCAATTGAAGGCCAAGGTTCATGATGTGGAATCAGTTGAGGTTGTCTTTTTTTGCGGTAAGCCTCGTTTGTTTATGGGGTATTTCCATGATCACTAAGTTATCACACTACCAGCCTACATCGAGGCTGGTGATTTCCAATCCAGGCGGAAGGTCAATGCTGCACTCATCCGAACTGCTATTGAGGCAATTAGTGGCATTGCTACCAACCTCGAAGCGGTGGTCCTGCAAACAGGTGGGAAAGGTTACGGGCTGGAATTCTCAAATGAACTCAAGATCCCGCACCCACTTCGCGAATCTATGCCCCGTATCCCGGAGCCCTGGCGCAGCAGTGTCTTCTATTATGACCAGTACGATATACTTTCTGAGCTATCCAAGAGTCAAAAGTGGACATTCTCAGAGATTCGACCGGACGGAATCGTTGGCTTTGTTCCCGGTACAAATGTAATGAACATAGCCCAAGGTATCGCGCTGTACCTGACCCTGTACCGCGAAGTCTATGGTCAAGGAGCGGAGATCCCATTCCCTGGGACGCTTCACGGCTACCAATCTACACATAGCGATACTTTCCAGGACATTTTGTCTAAGATGGAAATTTACACTGCGCTGAACCGGGATAAATGTCCCAACGGGTCAGCGTTCAACGTTGCAGACGGTGATATTGTCAGCTGGGAATATGTCTGGCCTGGTCTCTGTTCGTATTTTGGGCTGGTGGGAGTGAAGCCTGGGGGAGACCAGAAGAAAATCGAAGACTTTGTTCGTGAGAATCACGGCGTCTGGAATGATTTGGTTGAGAAACATGGATTAAGGAGAGGTTTGCTTGAGGCGCAGAATTGGCCATTCATTCAGTTCATGCTTGTTGACTTCGACTTTGATCGAGAGTACTCCCTTGATGCTGCCCGCTCGATTGGATTTACCGAACGTATTGATACCGTTCAGGGTTATCGTGTGGCGTTTGATCGGATGGCAGCTGCCAGGGTCATTCCTTCGTTCCACTGAGTCGTTTATGCCTTGAAGGAAGAAAGGTCTAGGGCACAAAATCATTCGATCAGCCCATGATGAAGGTTGCTCATTTACTCACGTGTCTACATGGTGACCCAATATTTCCTGGTGGTCATAATGACCATTCAGGGTAGTTAGATAGCACATTTTAGATCCTCTTCCAAATTCAAGACTTTGAAGGGTACGACTATGGAATCTTCTGCTTACTTTGTAAGAGAACGAAATGTATCCGAACTCCACAAGTGTCCTTTTGGTGACAGCGAATTTGGCCTACTTAATGAACTTTCCTATATGGTAGTAATTGTTATTACTCTTCTGTACAATATCCAAAGGTGAGCCTTTAACAGCTCGGTATATCCTTCAGTGCTCACATTTAGTAAGCTATTACTGTCGGACTGAATGGCAAGCATATCTTGCTTTCAATGTAGTATCGCTGGGCTTGCGAAGAAGGTTCCCAGTACAGGCTCACCTCCAGGGGCTCATGAGAACAAAAACAAGCTAGTATATGCGCGATTTAAGATGGCTATGCATAATAACAGTAAAGAAACGGATATGCTATCGCGTAACTCAACCTCTATAACAATACATCAATGCAACTCTATTACGCCACTCCTTCATTGAAACCAACAGCCTCAACTTCGGTCATTCCCCTTTATAAGTACTCGTTGACCATATTATCATGTGCATAATTCCTAGCCTAGGCAATAGCTACCGCAAGTGCCATTGCTGCACCACCCGCCGCAAAGTAGGCGTGTCCCGTGGGTAGACCCATGGCAGCATTCTCAGTGTTCGATGCACTTGCACTGGTAGATGACGCATCGGCAGATCCAGTAGCAGTGGCCTTGGCAGAAGCCGAGGCCGAGGCCGAAGACGAGGGTGTAACAGAGGCATCTGTTGCTGTGACGGTGAATGAAACTGTGGTAACAGGGACCATCGAGGAATCGACATCCGTTCCGAGGATTGATGTTCCACGGGTTGTCGTCCACGTTACATAGCAAGTGGCGCTCTTGGAGCCCATATCGCATCGCTCAAAAGTTTCGCTGGGGAGTTTCAAGCTAATTAGAATACTTCACGGCACAGAATACTAGGGATAGAATGTAGTTACCCTTCCCAATCCATCCGAAACGTCTTTGGGCCTGACACAAATGTCATATCACAGTTCATGAGGCGGTTACCGGCGGTAGTGCTCGCGCTACTGGTGGTGGTAGGGGTAGCACTTGCGGGACAATTTGGTGAGTACGACGTCGTGGAACCATTCTATGTTTTTGTGCCGTTAGTATACTGCTGGGAGTGATGTGGGTTTATATATGGACAGCGGTGAGAAATCATACAATGCCAACAACTCGGAACCTAATGTCTGCAAGCGCGTCCATCCCACTGCCATCGTCATCGTCACCTGGCACGGCCAGTTTGACAACATTGTCAGCGGCGACGGTCATAGCTGTGGCCAACAAGGCAAGACAGGAAAGTGTGAAACGCATTTTGGATATGAGGTAGACGTTGTATGGTACACTATAGAGACAATTGAATAGACATAGGATGGTTGATTGAGAACCTTTGGAGGAATACTGGGGTTTATATACCAGTTTCTCGGCTAGATTCCGCTCGGCAGTGTCGGCTCTCCGCCGTGGCTGAGCTGGTTAAAGATGTGTAGTCATGAAAACGACACTATCCACTAGGATTGAGTGGTCTATCATGAACCAAGCCACGTTAATGCGTCTGGTTGAGGCTCTTTTTCGCCCCCAACAACATCCAAGCATCTTCATCGCACTAAAGCAATCCGTAAACGACGTAACCAATGAGATGACGGGGTTAAATGAAATTTACATGGCCAAGCCCTCAGGTGAACCCACACTCAGCCTTGCCAGGTAAAAATATGACCAACGTTTGGTACCTGAGTTTATGGAAGGATTCGGACGTAGCCGACATTTTGACCGCCCCGAATTTCCTGTCTTGCGCTATACTACGTAGCAAATGACCTAGAACCGTTAGAACTGCACTAATCGCCACTAACTGCGAAAGGAATGTCGACAGGAGGCCCATGATTGGTTGGAGAGGATATGCGATTGTGTTTGGTAAACATACGGCTGTGGGTTGGACGGCCTTAAGCTCCGGGGACATAGCTATCCAGGTCTACTCGTACAATAATTCTCATCCGTAGACAATTCTAAGAGTGATATAAGATATTTTGTACACTTCTATATATGATTCGCTGTTAGCAGATCAATAACTAACTGATCGGTCAATCCTCGGGCGACATCCAGAGCGGTCTTTCCCTCCTCATCAACGATCTTCGCATCTGCTCCATGATCCAGTAGAAGGCGGACAACTTCCTGTAATCCACAAACCACAGCCAAGTGCAACGCCGTGGCGCCTCTCATCCGCATGAATGAAGTATACGGAGTCATTTGGTTATTCAAATCTTCGCCCGACCCAACAGCAGCTTCAACTAGCATCCGACAGATCTCATTAATGATTTGGTCTGAGTCACGACGATACCGATAGCTGAACAAAGCCGCGTGCAGTGCCGTCATCCCATCTCTCCCCTTGGTGGAGACCTGCGCACCATATTGGAGGAGTAACTCAACCCCGGGTACCGACCCGGCAGCAGCAAACTGATGAAGTGGCAGTCTCTCCAAAGGTCTAGGCGCCCCGCCGACAAATTCCGGAATGGTAACATAGGTGCAGTTGATATCCCCGCCTGCATTTCGATATGCGTGGAAGATCCGCTCTACGGTCGTCCAGCTCAACTTGGGTGACCCGGCAGCACACCCTAACGCAGATCTTCCCACAGCATCATGAGGTAATGGGTTCGCATCACGATCCAGAAGCATTGTGACTATCTCCTCGTTGCCGTTCGCCGTGGCGAGTGTCAATGCCGATACACCGTGTATATCCCAACCGGACGGGTCAGCTCCGTTGTCAAGCAGAATACGGACGGATTCGACATCTCCTCTGTAGATTGCACGGTGAAGGACCATGACATTATCGGAAGGGGAGAATATATCTCCCGTTGTACCAACCTTTTCCCGAAGAACTTCGACAACCTTGCAGACGACAGTTGCAGAACAGAATCCAGCAGCTAGGTTGAGAATGGTTAAACCCGTTCCCATGAGCCATTCAGTGACATCGGCACCTTGGCCGATCAGCCACAGGGCCATTTGCTCCCGGCTGAATTGTATAGCTGTGGCAAGAGGGCTGTATCCGTCATGGCACCTATCAATATCTATGCCTTTGGAAATGAGTACCTTGACCACATCGATATTTCCGCCCTGGGCAGCTAGATGGAGAAGACTCGACCTCGGCGCTCCACAACCCGATAACACGTCTTGAGATTGTGACTGGAGGTAACCTAGTATGATTTTCGAGTGCCATCGCGAGACGCATTCGGTCCAATGGAGAGATGGCACTTCAACCTCTGAGGTATCTGATATAGTGCGAAAATCATCCACATCGGAATCAGGTTCATCATCCGGTTCAAGGGGCAGAGGTTCATGGACCACTTTATTGTATAGACAGGGCGTCACTAGTCGTGCGATTCCCGTCTGAGTGCGAATTAACGCGGCCAGACTACCACTGGGCAGAAAGCCAGCTACATGGAGGATGAGCTCTTGGGGAAGTGAACACAGCATGATACAGCGTTGCAGGGTTTGATATACGTCAAGGTGAAAATGGCATCCGAGATGGGCCGAAGACCGGAGTCAAATTTCTTAGTGCGGGTTAGTAGCGTAGACAAAGCGTGGACTTATATTCATCCGTGGTATCTTCGAAGAAACGGCATTGGTTGCTATCTTCATCGTGTTCTACATTGATTCAACGCGTTGTCCTCATCAAGAGACTCGATGGTCAAGGATTGCTTGTTTTTTGAACGAACCTGCTGCCATTGGGCAAACAAATACAGTGATGCCTGAGGCATTCATGGTCACCTGATCGGATTCTGGCCGGAGTTTCGGTGGGAAGAAAACGTCCGATTCCTGGATAGCCTCGCGACGCTTGCCTCAGGCGAGTCCGCACCAACTTCAATCAGCCCTGAACCGATTACGTCCAAAACTCACACGTGGCGTCTATTCCATGAGCAGATACCCAGCACCAATTGTGCCAACCAGAGTCCACACGGAAGGTCTATATTTATGTCCTGCCCCCGACTCCGCAGTGGCTGTCGCGTCTTTGCCACTGGATTCTGTCTTTGTCGGTACAGCCTTGTTTGTGGCCGCAGCTGTGATAGGGCGTGGGCTGTCGTGGATCGTCCAAGTGAAGGTGTTTCCGCTCACTGGGGTCGAAATCACACCACCAGTATTATGTAGAGCTTCCGTCCCATTTGCGGGCAGCTTCCCTGGGCCATGGAACTGTGTCTGGTTGCTAAAGCCCAGATCCGCTGTACAAGTGTCACGATCAAGGTATGGCCCGCACTGGTTCCAATCACTGTTCTCCAAGAGAGCCTGATAGACAAAGTCTGCGCCTAGTAGGGCAGGAATTGTTTTTGGGCATATGTCCCATATCCTTGATCAGAAATATTAGCACTGGGAGCTGTAGATTACGGCTCAATGTGTTGGTCACACGCACGAGGAGATATAAGAACTTTGGCCGCAACACCCACAGGTGAACGCATAAGCTATGGTCTGCTCGCTATCCGAATCCGGCGTTATATTGTCGTAGCACTTGCGCATCGCATTTTCCGCCACCTTTTGTACCTCGGCGACTCTACCCAAATTACAGGAGCAGCCACCGGGGGCATTATCAGGAGGCGGGAAGAAGGGGACTGCCTCGATAGACGTGTTCACACAGGAGTCAAGCAGGTCATAGGCAGTGTTTTGATACTCGCAAGAATATACCTGGCAGCCGATACGTTAGCAATAGATTGCACTGCTTGTTGTGATGATGATGGTTTGCGTACCTGATTCCAACAACTGGTTGCGGCACATTCTATGTAGTCCGTGTTCTTTACACACTCGCAGGCATTGATACAGTCTATTCCCAAGTCCGGACACTTCGATTGCACGCATGCAGGATCCCCATTGCAGGACTCCGTACAAGCTTTGTTTCCACCAGCGCAATTGTTATTGATGCAACTGGCAAAACCCTGGTCGGCATCCTGGTAACATGATTCGAATCCCGATGAGTCAACACAGTCTGACGACTGGAAATACCCCACTTGCTTGGCAACAGTTATAGTCGCGAAAGAGGATAAACAAATTCTGAGAGCGGTCGTTGGCTTCATGGTGCGGAGAGGATGTGTAGAGGTGTACGCGTGCGTTGAACGATATACCTTGGGGCTCGGCGGCTATTAAACCCCATTTTATGAAACTGCACAAAGGCAGGATCGGATATAGCCGCAAGGCTCACTCAAAGATCCTAGGGTTCGCCAAGGGACTTTGCATTAGCTCGTTGAACTAGTCCCAGTCCCAACAACCCAAATGTCTTGGCATACATCTCCGGACCAATCTGGAGATAGTCATCGTTTGAGTTCTCCAGGAGAGGACAGGCGATCTCAGGTTCCCAAAAGGCCCCACCCAGCTGGAAGCTGTTTCTCAGATGATAGAAGTCTAGCGTAACATCGGATCAAGGGATGCCGTTTAGTATGAGTGGCGCAGTCCGTAGGAAATTGTCCCACCCTAGGGCTCATCCCGCGACGAATACGAGATTTATTTGCGCCCTGTCTGCCAGTATTTCGGCCTAACTCCAATTCCGGAATGGCCTCTATAATTGCCCTATCATTGTTGTCCCCTTTCTTCCGGTGTATGCCTCGCCTCCCCAATTGATCATGGAATTGGCCTTGCTTCCAAACAATGAGCTAGTAGTCAGATTCTCCGAGGACCATATCTGTACTGAGAATCTCGCGATAAAGGGAGCCCTTCCTTGGCACTCCGCATTTAACCCGTATTCTGGAACTAGGCGCCGCAATGCGGAGTTCCACTTCCTCCCAAGCTTCGTGCAACGCTTTTCAGGAGTCAATCTGATTCATGCCTACCTCAGCCTGTACAATGGTCTACATAATCCCCAGCGTCGGTCTTAAGGCACAATTTATTTACGCTGGGTACTACCGTTACCAAATTAACGCTCGCAGCAGGCCTGCAGGATCACATTCGGTTTCCCCATCAGTTGATTTCCGTGTTATTTATTGCTTGAGGAGGTGATCTAATATGAAAATATTGCCCATGTCTTACCACATGGTGGCGTCCAGACATGGTATCATTCCAATTGTTTCTTTCTTTTACGAATACATGTCACGTTGAAAATGAAGGGATGGAGCAGCAGACCGTCTTGGAAATATATAAGAATCAGTTGCACAAACATCCTGGCATCGATTGATACCACGAAGGGCAATAACGGCATGATTTTCTAAGGCCATGTGGCACCCAGATCGTCTGTTCTGCTCCTTTGGGTTCTAAATTAACCCATAACACCGATACTGCTGGAGGGTAATTCTGGAAAATACCTTCATACTGAGACGGTCACTAATTTCATGACGGATGGATGTCCGTTGCCTTGCTCTGGCTACTGAAAATGCTCAACTGGACTCACGTACTCAGTGTACATTACATGATTCCATCATGACAATACATCATCCATCGAAACGGGCCTATTATCTCTTTCAGCATGGTCAAGAGTTACCATGAACTCCAGCGTCCGGAGCATCCTTTGACTCCGCATGGATCGCGCTCACGACAGGACTATGTGAAAGCAAAGGTCCAGTAACGACGCAAAGGGGTTGCACGCTTAGGGGTGATATCTAATGCCTGAAAATAGAGGCAGTACACATTTCTACGATATTTTATAGCATGGAGAAACCTTCATCATGACCGGGTAGTGTTCTTGTATTGGTCACCGAGTGTTGAGAATGCGAGGGTCTTCTGGATAGAATCAGAGCAGCCAACGCAGCCAGAGCAGCGCTTAAACCTTGAACTTGTGCTGAGGATAAGAACCAATATTCTATACTAGAAAGTTGACGAGAATATTTATTATTCTAGCAAATATCTGACGAGCGAAGCATTTGTGCCCATTCAAAACGGCTTGCTTATAACTTTCAGAACACGTGTGGAGCCGTTCCCTAAAAGATTCCCCGCCCCTGCGCGTTTTTTGCGTTATTCCCCGGGAAGCGGCAACAACAGTTTAATAAACCCCTGGGCCGTCCTGATGACTGAAATTTTCATTCCCAAACTTTTGAAAGCGCATCTGCAGCATGAATAAATTGTCAGGTCGGATCCTCTTACCGTGGCAGCCCGTCCGTGCGTTCCGGCCGACCCGTCACTTCCAGAACTCCTTTTCTAGCTTCGCTCCCGCGGAGGCCTGTCATTCCAGTGAGAACAAGGACACTATCAAACCTCATAATGAACACTGCCACCCAGCAACCGTCTCGGTGACGGCTAACAAGCAGTCGCTATCACCGTGGCAACTCAGCTTTTGGAAATGCCGTCATACATGGAAACGCGCAGGGATCAACACACTTCGCTGCCTGGTCGGCTGTACGTTAGGTGACTTCTCCGCGCTATGGATGCTCCAGACATTCTATCCAGGGCTAGGGATGGGAACTATCATGGCCGCGTCTAGTAAGTTCTTTGTTCCCCTAGTCTCCGTAAGAGACAAGCCATGTCCATGGCTGCTGACGAAATGCAGTGGCGTCCGGAATCAGCACGTCGATCGTTCTTGAAACGGTCCTCCTCCGGCGCGGAGCTGACCAGCTTTCCTGGCCGATGGCACTTCGGACGGCGATGGGCATGAGTATGGTGTCGATGCTCGCAATGGAGGCGGCAGAGAATGTTGTTGACTATCACCTTACTGGCGGTGTTGTGGCTTTGGGTGACCCGAGCTTTTGGATGGCAGCTGCTGTCTCGATGACGGCTGGCTATCTGGCTCCATTGCCGTACAACTACCTGCGACTGAAGAAATATGGCAAGGCCTGTCATTGAAGACACCCTAGGATTCCATAGTGAGAGAAGCAAATTGGGTGTACTGTGTATGGTTGCTATAAATTAATTCACCGTGTATTATTATGTGGGCATCGGGGCAAGGTTCAGAAATCATGATATTGTAGTTTCTACATTGCCAGTGTGGGCCGAAATAGGAATGCATTCAATAGACTGCTCATCGGACGTTTTCCCCACCCGACAAAAACACGAGAAACAATCTCAATCCAAATAACAGCAAACTCGTAGCAATTGGCACATTTCACTGTCCTCCGTGTGGACCCACTCAACCCGTTTTATCCGAGCTTGCGCTACGGATACCGCGGATTCCGTTGACATTGCTCAACTACGCCGGATTCTTGAGATATGGGGTATGATCCTAGATTTTGGTGTAGAAGGTATACTTGTAGGCATTCCAGATATCCGAGAGTCCGTGTGTGAAAACCTCCGATGGGTATCTCTGGAGCTCCATCCACATTCTAGGCAAGACCAGGGACATACTTGACATAAGGATATATATTGCTGACGGCAATCTTTCAAAATGTCCTCATCAGATCGTCCACTCCCAAGAAAACTCGCTCAGTTTACAATATATCATCCTGGCAATACCCTTTTTATACTTTTATTTAGCCACACGAAAACATCACATCCAAAATGGTCGGCTTTGACATGCGCGGTTTGACACCTGCTCCAGTGACACCGTTCACTGGATCGGGTGACGTCGATTACGAGGCCATCCAACGTCTGGGTAGCTGGCTTGGTAGCATCGACGGTGTGAAAGGGCTGGTTGTCTTGGGCCATGCAGGAGAGGGAACCTTCCTGACACCCGAGGAGCAAATATCAGTGATCAAGGCATTCGTCCAATCCGTCGACAATAAGATCCCCATTATTGCAGGAATTACAGGAGAGGGTACTGAAGTAGCTGCGCTCGAAGCGAAGCGCGCAAAGAACGCCGGTGCGTCGGCTGGCCTACTCTACCCATCTCATGGATGGTTGCGCTTCGGATACCAGGATGGCGCCCCTCAGGACCGCTATCGCCGAGTTTACGAAGTTAGTGGACTTCCTTTGATCCTCTTCCAGTACCCAGACAACACGAAGGCCACATACAATCTAAAAACAATGCTCGATATCTCGGCTCAACCCGGTGTCTTTGCCATGAAGAACGGCGTCCGCAATATGCGCCGCTGGGATACGGAGATTCCCGTGATCCGCCGCGAGCGACCTGAACTCCAGATCTTGAGCTGCCACGATGAGTATCTCTTGCATACATCATTCGATGTGGACGGTTTCCTTGTTGGTTATGGCAATATCGCCCCGGAGCCATTGATTGAGTTGATCAAGGCTGGGAAGGCCAAGGATTACAAGAAGGCTCGCGAAATTCATGATCAGCTTCTGCCAGTCACAAAGAGTGTCTATCACCGGGGATCTCATATGGAGGGCACGGTCGCCCTCAAACACGCTCTGGTTGCTCGTGGCATACTCAAGCATGCTACCGTTCGATCGCCTCTTTTGCCTCTTGAACCAGGAGCAGAGCAGGAGATTCATGCAGCTATGAGTGCTGCCAGTCTAAGCAGAGTTGTATAGATGCGGAGGGTGATAGTATCAAAGAAAGAGGTGTGGAAGCGAGGATAATGTACCTACATGTTTAGATATTGAAATACACAGTTTGACCGTTCAACAATTTCTCTCGATTGACCACCTGGGCTGTAAGGACTACTGTAGGCCACTATAGTAATTTTGTATGGATCAAACTATTTCGTCCTATGTAGTCCGTAATGATGTCTCAGCTATATAATATCACCCCTGTTTCCAAAGGTAGTTACTGATGTCTTCTCTCAAATGATGTAAATATTTACATTTCCGTATGATGGTTCGAGAACCGAGGTTTATCACTTGAGAAACCTAGATCAGAAATGTCCTCGCCTCAGGTAGGACATATGAAGATGGCCATTGTCAATCGGATCTTTCAGAGATAAAGATGTGCCTTCTGGAGTTACCTTCAGTAAAATGAACATAAAACAAGTACAATAATTTCCAAACTATCGCCTTAACATGACAACTAGCCCCATGTGGGGTTTATCTTCCAGGTATCTTTTAAGAAGATGATAATGAGAACCCTCGCCTTTACTCCCCTTCTCCAAACGGCACAAATCTGAAGTATGGATACTCGAAACGTACATTCAAGGTACCATATCCAATCCACAGTAGGGACAATTATGGCACGGTAAAGGACTTAGCCGTCCATACATTAACCCTACCTCAATGGCGTGATCAATTCCCCATGTCTAGGGCAGTAACGGACTTCATTATTATGACCAATCGCAGTGCTCCTCTACATTATATTGCTGGGACGAAAAAGTCGCAAAGAACACTGGAACGACGAATAATAAGCGAGGTCTATCATCCGAAGACCCCACATAAAAGGGACGGCGTGGACAACGTGGGGAACTTTGACGTCCCCGGAATCTCCGCATTGCCACACCTGTCTATATGAATCCGCGATTTCCGTGCCCACTATACCGCGTACCTCAGTCCCCTACCCATCCTGACCAGCAGGATGGCTCCAGGAACCCCAAACCATGACACGGGCCCCACTGGCAGTGTGACACCTATCCCCTCTGCCCGTAAACACCGCCTTGACGATGCTTACGATGCGTCGGAGAATCGCCGGAAAGATCCCAAGGTCAGCCGCGCCTGCGACTCATGCAAAGCAAGAAGATTCGATGCTCAGGAACAGCCCCATGTCAACACTGCAACAGGAGGAGCTTAACATGCACCTATGCCAGCAAATATTTGCGTGGTCGACCTCCTACACCTCCACCCCTATCGACATGCAGAGAGCCGGCGACTGCCTCCACAGGCCGAATACCAGATGTGCAACACACAACTCAAAGAAGTACATCCATCATCAGTGCGGATGTACAGGTCAATGAGCAATCCCAGGTGAACATCACTGAAGGGGCCAGTGACTCCTCAGAGAACGTCGGAAATGGTGCTCCCTCGCGTGCATCACCAGAGCTAGTTATCGAGGGACAGTATGTCGATCCAACCTCCGGTCTGACGTCCTTTCATCATGCATGGCGCAAGATTTCTATGCAACAGAGAGACATTAAATCCCCAAGAACCAGTGAGGCGGAGATGAATCAGCCCTTAGTTTCCGCAGGAGACAGACCGTTTTACCAAGACGCACAAAATTCTGACCCGTTTCCCGATCCCTCCACAGCGCGTCATTTACTGTGCTTTTACTTTGAGTCTTGTGTGGTTACCTATAGAATGTTTCACCGACAGACCGTGGAGAGTTGGCTGGAAGCTGTCTTGAACAATAGGCGAACAAATAGCCCAAGCACAAACTGCCTCGGCGTTGCTAAATATAGCATTATCTTGACTATTTTGGCAATCGCTCAGTTTCGCATTTCAAAGAGCGAATCCAGCAACGACGAAGTATCAGCCCTGCGGTCAACAGACCCCTTATTTTGCGCGGCAATGCACCTCACCGATACAGAGAGGGGATTTCCACGGTTGGAGTCAGCCCAGGCCAGACTGATCCAAGTGCTATATCTTCTCCAGACATTTCGCGTGAATAGGGCTTGGTACGTATTCGGCAACGTTTATCAGATTGTGTCTTCGCTAGGTCTTCACCGGCGGCGCTCGAGGAAACAAAATGCTCCCTCAAATGGTCTTTCAAATTATATCAAGGCACAATGCGCCAAGCGTGTCTTCTGGGTCACTTATACCATTGACAAATATCTCAGCGTGGTTATGGGCCGACCACAGCTTCTACATGATGACGATATTAACCAAGACTTTCCGGACAGTGTTAATGACGAGGACATTGGGCCTGATGGCCTTGTAACCGTGGACGCTGCGGAGGATTGTCACATTGATTCCCTTATCTTTCATGCCAAGTACGTGTTACTGGTCTAAATGTGGTCCCCACTGTGTTTGTTGGTCTTCTTCTAACGTCCCTCCAGGATCGCGCATATCATCGGGCGCATATCCCGTCAGGTGTACTCAGTTGGCAATTCCGTTGGTGAGGGCCGAAAGGCGGCTGCATATCATATGGTTCACGAACTCCATGTTTGGCGGGCCAACCTCCCCTTGCATCTAGGCACAATTAAGCTGTCCACACTAATACCGAGCTTCCGGAGAGAAGCCACAGCACTTCAACTCGCCTACTCACATGCACTTATCCATGTTAATCGCCCGTTTCTCCTCGGCGATGTAGTTAGTTCTGATGATGAATCCGAGGTAAAAGACCGAATCACTGAATGTATTTCCGCTGCGAAAGCGGCATTAGAATTAGTCAACACCATGGCGAAAGACACAAACTTGCTTCATTCCTTTTGGTGGACTCATTATGTGACCTTTTGCGCACTTGCGGTGGTATATATCTGGAATATACAGTGCAAGGCACGCAATGACGAACATCTGGAGAATGAATCATCGTACGTGAAGTTATTTGATCTCGCTGAGAAGTGTCGGGCTCACTTAGCTTGGAATGGGTCACCAGCATCACCCGGGCGAAGGTACGCTGCTATCTTGGATGAACTGCGCCTGGAGGCACAACGTGAGACAGTCAGCAATACTATTATGGACCCAGGACCAGGAATAGCTGGGAGGGTGGGCCACACTTCCAATTCTCAACTCAGCGTCTTCGATGGCTCCGGCCTAGCTGAAGCACCCTTTGAATGCATAGCCTCCATAGATAAGCCTGTGAATCCCGTTCCTAGCATGCTTGACACATGGCAAGCTGTCGACTGGCTGGACCTAGACGCCTCTGTATGTGCCCTATAATCGGCCAGACAAGATCAATCTATGCTAACAAACAACTAGGCTTTCTACTCGGCTCTCGATGATCTAGGAATCTCACCAACGTGGTAATTCACCTCTGCATCATGATCACAACGTAAGCTGGGAGTTGTTCATTTACATTTGCATCCATAGTAACTTATGTACATATAATTGTCCTGATTTCGTGCGGTAGAGTCGAGCATTAAACTCAGTAATCCACCTTTTCCCATACGTAGGGACGGATATCCGGGCCCCATATCGCGCGGATCCCAAATCCTAACTTGATATATCCCGTTCTTGGCTCGGAGATGTCGGATTAGCAACCGAGACTCGATGCCGCCACGATGAACATCCGGATTCCACGGGGAAGAAATCACTCCCATAATCCGACAGAAACGGACTGGTCATACGGCTTTTTTTCTTCATCATGCACGTTGCAAAATAATCCCTCTGCTATGCCATTTCCAGGCTGCCAAGGTCTAGCCCCACTCTTTGAAGTATTTTACACTTCGACTTCTTATATATCCTCTCCCCACGGGGTTCACTTCCCCAGAAATGTGGTACTAGCCTAGTTCTGAGGCATTGTCGATCATTTGTCTTGGCTTGGTATTGTATATTCAACATGACTACAACTCGGACTTTTGACGAGGAAAATCTATCCTCTGAGAAGGAGGCTGTTATGCATCTTGAGCATCAACCTCGCGGCCTATCTTCTGCTGATGAAGAATTCCTTGCCAATTTCTCTGATGAGGCTAAGGCCCAAGTCCTGAAAAAGGTCTGATGTGCTTTCTTATATGCTACATGCAACAAAATGCTGATAGCACGTTATGCTTCCAGGTCGATGTGCGCAGCTTGGTCTCTCCGTGATCTTACTATGTAGTGAAGTACTAAAATGCGCAGTGGCGGTTGATTCCGATGCTCGTTCTATTATATCTCATTGCATACATTGATAAAACTAATATTGGTATATGATATCCCAAAGTGTCCGTATCTTCGGTGTATCGCTGACTTGGCTAGGCAATGCTAAGATAGAAGGACTTCTTCCCGACTTGGGGATGAATGGCAATCAATACAACATTGCCTTGTCTGTCTTCTTCATTCCTTATGTGCTGGCAGGTGCGTCTATTCTCGTTCAAAAAAGGAAGTACTGCTCCTAACATGCAATACAAGAGGTTCCTAGTAACATAATCCTTAATCACTTCAAACGACCGTCTGTCTATCTGGGATCTCTGATCTTGGTTTGGGGCATAATCATGACCTGTACGGGGTTTGTTCAGAACTTTGGCTCCCTTGTTGGCATCCGATTCCTCCTTGGCCTATTCGAGTAGGCTTACCTCTGCTACATAACTGTTACACTGGATCCTAACAAATGACAGGGCAGGGTTTCTTCCGGGCGCCGTGTTGATCATTTCCAAGTGGTATCTTCCCAACGAAACCCAGACCCGCATCGCTATTTTATACACATCGGCTGCTTCGGGTGGAGCATTCTCCGGTCTTCTCGCTTTTGTAATTGCCAAGATGGATGGTACTGCTGGCTACGAAGGCTGGCGATGGGTGCGTCTCCAAAAACAGTTATAGACTATACGCTGCCGCACATCGGAGCTAATATGCTGTATCACCCCAGATATTCATTATTGAAGGTCTTGCTACCATCTGTCTGGCTTTCCTTACTTTCTTCTTGCTTGTTGACTCTCCTCAAAGGTCCTCGGGCTGGCTAACACCCGATGAGATTCAGTTTCTGGAAGTCCGGCAACTTGCAAACAGCACTCAAGGAAGCCAGAAAAAAGGAGTCGCATGGGGAGCGTTGATCAGCGTTCTGACGGATTGGAAGATTTACCTACTAATCCTTGCCAATTGGTCCAACGCCGTACCCAATTACGCCCTCAAGTTCACCATGCCCCAGATCATCCAAAGCATGGGGTTCACATCCGCCAAAGCACAGCTACTAACCATTCCACCGTACGCCGTGGGTGCCTTCTCGGCTTATCTTTTCTCGGTTTTTGCCGATCGTTATACGTGGCGCATGCCTTTCATCATTATCCCCCAGCTATTGCAGGTCGTCGCATTCAGCATCCTATTCACCAAGGCAGCCGCCATAAGTGACAATATAGCATTGTGCTATTTTGGGGTCTGCCTGGCCTGCTTTGGGTAAGTATCATGCCTTTGAGTTACAGATCTGGCAGCTTAGTTTGGCTTAGCATGTATCCCATTCTACCGGGCGTGAACGCCTGGAACGTGTCCAATCTTCCCAACCCCACGAAGCGGGCGATTGGCATCGGCTACCTTGTCTGTATGGGTAATGCGGGAGGCATTATCGGCAGCTTTATCTATCAGGAGAAGGAGGCACCACGTTATCCCACCGGCTACGGTAACTCCTTTGCCTTCGCGTCGGCTGGTTTGGTCGCATGTCTAGTACTCGAGTTCTGCCTCTATACGCTAAATCGAAAGAAGGCCCAACTCACCGAAGTTGAGATCCGGGAACGATACACGGATGAGGAGTTGAACGAAATGGGCGAAAAAAGTCCCCTGTTCAAATATACACTTTGATCGGCGTTTCTGGGATGATCGAGTGGGGTGAAACATATAGGTGGTATAGTTATGTAGCATTGAAATGTCTCACGAGAGACTTATTCTCTAGTTTCTCCTTTTTTCGGGGCCCTTTCGTATCGGGTTTCTCCGTCCCTATCTAGGCGTCATGCATTATGGGGGTTGTGGTTCGCTTCGACCCACCGAGCCATAAATCCCTTGACAGCGGCAAGGTTTCCTCAGCCACACCCGCATTTGCCTTCAGGATCGGATCTTGATCAATTATGGGTGATAACTACCCGTATATCAATGCAGGGGGTGCTACTATGCATCCCTTGGGAGGTAATCAACCCAACCCAACCAGTGCGGAAGGCCAGCATCAACCCCTAATAATAGCAACTTTTGATAGAAAAATATTCCATAGAACCTAAATGGACTCTCCACAATTGCTGTACCAGTGAAGAACTCAAATAGCTTAATTGAAACTATTGAGTTCAGCCTCAATTGTCAGCGGCTACGTTCGGTTATGGCGCACCGGTGAAGCGGAAGAAACCATGGTACCATTGTGGGGAAATGCAATAAAATGGGGTTTACGGGGCAATAAGACATCTGGCCTCTTCCAAAACATGGGTATCCCACCAAGAATGAGACTGGGGTCCCTGTTGTAGTCTCAAATTTGGGCTTGGGCGGGTCACGGGTCCATGCACTATATCGCCCATCAGGACGATCATTGAACCGAATCTATTGATAGTACCCAGTACCATGCACCGATGGCATGATGTAACGACTTGAAGACAATGCTTATGTTCGCCAGCCGAGGCGATACTCCACATATGGGGTTTGCCACCTCAGCTGAGTAAAACACGAGGTTACATTCAGATCGTACCGAAAGGATATATAAGAGGTCACATTTCCGTCGAACAAGAGAATATTCATCCAAACACAACAGCAAGCAATTCATCCATTATCATTCAAACAACCCTTCAACCAACCCTCTCATCACAATGCGTTTCCTTAGCATCTTCGCTGCCATCGTCGCCCTCGCTCCCGCCGCGATGGCACAGGGCCAGAACCCCACGAACTGCCTTGATGAATGCCATCCCTACAGTGCTGGCTGGGATAAGTACTGTGATGCTAAGCACCCGGTATGCTTCTCTTGTTTCTCACCACACATGCGAATACCTGACCGCTAACAATGCATCTAGGCTCTTTACCGTGAAGGCCCTGTACGTATACCTGTTCCCCTCATCGAGGCCGAGATATGTGGTATAGTAAGTAGACGATTGTTCTGACGATGACTATAGGGCTGCTTCAAGTGCTGCGAGTCCGTTTAAGCGGGTCAAGTTGGGCTAGGACCACGAGTTTGGTAGTTTATTGGGTTAAGGGATTGTGAGTTGGGGATTTGATGTTTCGCAGTCAACTGTTTTGAGAACGTGTTGAGTGGAGTATTGTATATGTGTTGAGCGACTATCCGGATGTGCAATGCAAACTTTTATTTGTGTGTCATGCAATGCGTAGAAGTACTTGTAGTGCTCTTGCTTCGTCTATGATATCTAGCGAGGCAATTGGCAAATACCTAAAGAAAAGAAGCGAAGAAAAAGAACTGTAATACAATAATACGCTGTCTGGGTGCATCCAGTTTGAAACTTCAATGAACTTGTTTATATTCTGTCCATGTATAAATGCAATATTACGAACCAATATGAACGGCCCAAATCGTACAAGGCATTCATTCCTATGCCCATGCCAAGGCACTATTGCTTCGTCGCTGGGAAATTACCAATGCCTAGGATATCACCATCCTCTTCCTTCCCATCCCTTGCCCGGTCAATCCGGAATTGGGTCGTCTTGAATAACCTCGCATAGTGGTTTCCTCGAACGATGTTCCCTGCGCAACCATCTTTGCCAGCTCCTTAGCCGCTAACCAGATGACCGGCATGCCGTGGCCATTGAATCCAGCGATGATAAACTGGCCCTCCTTGGCAGGCACTTCACCGATGTGGGGGTTCGAGTCATAGGAGTAGCCCATGACTCCAGTCCAAATCTTGTCCACTTTGGCCCCGGAGTTTTCCCACCCGCGATAGGTGTGTTGCATGTAGTCTGTATAATAGTCCTTTGCCGAATCAATAAGAACACTGTCGTCGACATTGTTATACCATTGCTCACGGAAAGACCGGAACTTGGCGGCGGCGCCACCGACAATGATACTGCCGTCGGCTCGCGGGATCAGGTATGAAAGAGTGTTGTCTTCGGTTCGATTGATGTAGGAGTTGTTAAGAAGAGGTGCCGTGGTTCCCTCTGGCACCGTAATGCGACAGCAGATGCCCTTGCATGGAATAATATTTTTCTCATACTCTGGTAAAAGTCCCGCGACATACGCATTGTTGGCATGGATCACGTTGCCTGCGTGCATTTTCCCTCGCGGCGTCTCAATCACATATCCGCCATTGGGATCTGGTGTGATTGAGGTCGCCGGGGTATATGTCTGAAGGTTGACCTTACCCGTTGCCAGAAGGGACTCACTGAGGTGCATGATGAATTTATAAGGCCACACTGTGCCAGCCGTGTACGAAGCGCATGCGACAGCGCCTTTGACGCCACAAATCTGTGACATATTAGCACAGATCATCTGACTACGATATAGCAACCACTTACACCTTCGACTTCCTTGCCCGTATAAAAGATCGCATCATTCATGTATTCAAAATTCTGCGCAACTACACTGTCGAAAGTTGCCTTGGCCTTGGCTGCGGCTTCTTCATTGCACCAGACGTCGATGGTCCTTGTCAAGGTGAAATCACAATCTATCTTCTCTTCTTCAATCAGTTTCTTGAGCGCGGGCAGATGCGCAATCTCGAACTCGGCGATCTCAGCCCCTGCACGTGCACCAGCGCGATCGATGTATGTGGGAATATGACCGTAGAAATCAGGCCGCATATGACCTCCGTTGCGACCGGTTGCGCCCGAGCATACCCCCCGTGCTTCCAGGATTGTGATTGACTTGTTGAAATGCTTATGGTCGCTCACCATATGGTAGGCCGTGCTGATGCCAGCGTAGCCCGCGCCAATTATAACAATGTCACTGTGCTCGGGCAGTTGTTCCGTCGAGCGATGGTTGCTCTTCGGGTGAGGCTGGGTTTGCCAGAAGCATTCCCCAGGATTGGGAACGGGAAAGCATCCTGCAGTCTGCGTTTGAGCTGCAGAATCGGAGACAGTCCCATTTGATGCAGGTAGTTGCATATTTGCGTTTGATGTGAAGTTATGGCCTCTATGACTTGGATAAGCTATGGGAAAGCTGACACGGAGTTAAGTTATAAACAGGTTGATGCGTCCGTCTTATCTTATCGCTAATCGGCCTCGGTACGGCGTACGGTGTCTCTGGATCACTAAAAGCTCGCTACCGGACCGGAATTGCCTAAATTAAACCGGCGGATATCTCATCGTCGGTACGGCTCCACTGATGGTGCGCCGGCAGAGAATCTCCGGTTTATCAGTATATCAATTAATTTGCTTCTGGATCAAGCGACCCCCATACATGTCCAGCGTGGTAAACTTGCCGGCATCCATCCGGCTCCCTTAGTTCTTATCCTAAACACGTACGTGCACAAGTCCCGCCAATGAAGGAAATGGGATTTGATATTGCCTTTGCATTAGCTTCTGCTAAGCGGGGGAAATAGCCCCATGAAGAACCTAAAGTGCACATAGATATACGGAAAATTGTACAAAAATGGGAAGAGGTCACCCCCCGGTCGAGCACACCATCCTCACATCACGTTTGGCATTAGGTTGTGCTTTCAAGCAAGATGCCTCCTCATACCGCAGAATACCCTTCGTTTGACGAAGTTGGTCCGTCAACAATCGCAGAGAAAAAAGGCTTTCATGACAATGTAGGATCATACGACGTGGAGAACACGGCCGGCCAGCTGGAGGAGGTGCACGACTTCAAGCAAGGCCTCCACCAGCGACATATTCAGATGATCGCGTTGGCCGGTACCATTGGAACTGGTCTTTTCCTGGGTTCTGGTCGAGCGATCGCGACAGCCGGGCCTCTTGGAGCCTTTCTCGGATACACCATCATTGGTCTCACAGTGTCGAGCGTTGTGTTCGGTGTTGGAGAAATGGGCGCCCTGGCCCCCCTCACCGGCGGTGCCATTCGATACCTGGAACTCTTCTGCGATCCTGCGCTATCATTTGCCATTGGGTGGAACCATGTGTACTCCTACGTTGTTTCAATCCCGTCCGAGATCGTGGCAGCGGCTGTTATTGTTCAGTTCTGGATTACGATCAACAACGCGATATGGATAACTGTGTTCGGCGTCCTCATGCTTATCACAGCACTCCTCTTCGTCCGTATCTACGGGGAGCTAGAGTTCGGATTCTCAATGCTGAAAATCATGCTGGTCATTGGAATCAACATTATGGCATTGGTCATTACCTGTGGAGGAGGCCCCGACCACAAGGCCATCGGATTCAGTTACTGGAAGAACCCCGGCCCTTTCGTCCAATACCTAGCGTCGGTGGCTCACTAGGCCGATTCATGGGATTCTGGACTACATTCGACAATGCGCTCTACGCATACTCCGGCATTGACAATATTACAGTGGCTGCGGCCGAGACGCGCAACCCTCGGCAGGCGATCCCCCAAGCCGCGCGACGGATCTTCATTCGAATCTTCCTCTTCTACATCCTGACAATATTCATGGTTGGCCTAGTCGTACCGTCCAACGACCCTAGTCTACTCGGCTCAACCAGCACAGCCGCGCATTCACCCTTCGTCATCGCCGCCCGTAATGCCGGCATCTCAGCAGTGCCATCTATCATCAACGCCGTCGTCCTGACCTCCGCCTGGTCATCAGGCAATTCGAACATGCTCGGTGGCTCGCGGATCCTGTATGGCATGGCATGTAACGGCCACGCCCCGAAGATCTTCAAGCGCATGAACCGTTTTGGTGTGCCCTACATCTCCGTGGCGCTGTACGGCCTCTTCATGGCGCTCGGCTACATGACGCTCTCCGACTCGGCCAGCACGGTATTCACCTGGCTGCAGGATATCGTCGCCATCTCAACACTCGTCAATTGGGTCTGCATCTGCATCGTATACCTGCGCTTCTACTACGGATGCAAGAAGCAAGGCATCGACCGCCATAAAGAACTCCCCTGGGCGGCACCATTCCAGCCCTGGAGTACGTGGTTCTCGTTGATCCTACTCGTGGTCCTTTTCTTTACGGGTGGTTATAAGACATTCATGCATGGGCACTGGGATACCGAGACGTTTATCTCGTCGTACCTGAACGGGCCGCTGATTTTGGGTATTTACCTCGGGTATAAGTTCGTGAAGAAGACGAGGATTATTCCGTTAGAGGAGATTCCTATTCGGCCATTTATTGAGAATTATCAAAATAACCCTGAGCTGGAGCCTAAGCCTAAGAAGGGGATAAGGAGGTTGAATATTTTGTGGTCTTAATTTGCTTCGATCTTGTTTGTGTTATGGATAATCTTGTCTAGGAAGATACTGGTCTACTGAAATGAAATGATAATTTATATTCACATGGACATCATCATGAGTCTTGGTATCGTATGATCATCTATACAGGACTATCATGTTATATTGTCACGACCATACCGTAGAATTCTCGTCACAACGATGTTACCAGTGCAACAATCCCCATCATCCAGATGTTGTATTGTGTATTGCTTATCTTATCCCCATTATCTTATCTGGTCTTATCAGATCCATCACATGACATCCCCGCCCGGCGCAACAAGCCAATCACAACTTACCGTACCGGAACTGCCCGAACAGGTAAGCGAAATCCGGCGCAATGCAAAAGCCACCGACGATAACCAGGGAGAATGAAATGATAGCGGGGAAAGCTCTCGATAAGCTCAAGCACGGTAAACAATTTCCCTCCGTTATCGGTTGCGTTGCACTGTCAAGCGCAGCCTCGATACACGGTATATACCACGTGGACAGCTCTTCCCGACGGTGAGACGAGTATTCCAAAGCTAATTGAGTATAAATAACATACTAAAGAGAACAACAGCACGGAAGCACGAAAACAACCCACAACGACCAGTGGCAGCATCATAGCAGCCCCAGCATTCTACACCCAAGTTATTGAAATATCAAGAAACAATGTCCCCCAAGAAACACGTTGTCTTCGACGTAGTGGGCACCTGCGTCTCCTTCGACGCCTTCTACAACTGCATTGACCACGTTATCGGCGACAAACTGCGTGCGCAATGTATCACGCCCCGTTTCTTTGGATTCAGCTGGATGACCGCTGCCGAGCTAGAATTCACCTTCCTTTCCATTTCAGAGCGCTATAAACCCTACAAAGACGTTATCACGGCGCTATTCTATCGGACGTTGCACATGGCGGGCGTAGAGGACCCGAGGTCGTTTGCGACGGAGGCTGAGAGGGACCAGTGTGTGCAGGGGTATTCGGAGTTGGAGCTTAGACCTGGTACCCGAGAGTGTTTTGCCAAGTTGAGAGAGGCGGGCTTCACGGTCTGGTGTCTTACGACTGGGGACACGAGACGTGTGAGAGGGTATTTTGAGCGCGCCGGGGTGGATATGCCGTTGGAGAACTTCATTAGTTGTGACTCGCAGGGGGTGGCTAAGCCGGCGCTGGCGGCGTATCGGCCTGCCATGGAGAGATTTGCGGAAGAGGATATCAAGTGGTTTGCGGCGGCGCATATGTGGGATGTTTCGGCGGCGGTTAAGGTCGGATTCAGAGGGGCTTATTGTACGGTGTATGAGAAGGAGTCGTGTGCGGAGATTTTTGACACACAGATGGAGGTGTTGGCTGATTCTTTGCCTAACATGGCAGACAAGATTATTGCAGCTTCAAGGTAGTATTTTTAGATGTTAATGATAATGAAAGAAATGGAGTCACAGTAACAAGTAAAAACTCATGATCATTATGCTTTCAATACATCAATATATCATGAGGTATAGACAAGTTGCTTTGCTCAACGTCGAGTCCTGGCGTCTTGGGACGCACGGTAGGGAAACATTTCTGCGAAGCCTCCGTGGCCATCGGCTTCAGATCGAAGCACTATGCCAGCCTCGGGCACAGCAAGAAATTGCTCAAGCACTTGCGTTTCCGATTGTGTCGGCCAGGCTGATGGCAGCGCCAGATTTCCGGTGCCAAAAATGGACAACTCATTGACTGGATCCCATGCATTGAGGGTGTCCATCTGCATATCTCTACGGGGCTCATTGGACAATACACTTAAATTCGGAGGCTCCAAATAACTCAGTGGATTGGGATCAAAGTTCACAGGCGGCATTGCAGAGCAAACTGATGCCGCAGCGGTGGTTGCAGGGATAGCAACATTCTCGCCCGCGTTCATGGCCCCACCGCTCCTCCAGGATGATCCCCATCGCTTGAATGCATCGTAGTCTGACATCGTTGGTATTGTCTCCGAGGGGCCATCGCTCAGCTGTGCAGCTTGTGCTTCGGAATTCAAACGAGCAAGCGCTCGTTCCAGCGCCTCAATCAACGCCACCTCCGATCGAGCGGAGTCCCCAGAGGTAGCCATTTCCCGGATCATGTCCAGCCCGTCCTGTAATGTCTTGCGATACTCTCCCGAGCGGTTCTGGATGGAATAGGCAATTAACACTAACAATGAAGCTCGGCATGAACTGTATTCAATGTAGGAAGCTCTGGCGAGACCTGGACCATTGTCTCGCAGCACCTGGCAAAGTCGAATCACCTCCGTTGCTGCCTGTGTGCAGTCCATGACGAGGCTTTGTGTACTGGACATCTGCTTTGGACTGGAGTTCTCGCCGTTGTCGCGTCCGGCACTTGTGAATTCTGGTCCAGCCGGGGAGCCTCGGGGTGATTGTGAGCTCTGGTCTCTGAGAAGGAACGGCCGTCCGATAAACATATTGACCAGACAATACTCGAGTCGTAGATGCATCGCACCACGACTTAGATTCTGTGGCTGGCTCAAGTCACCTAGTACATCTGTTGGTAATGACTGCCACCACTCCGTCATGGTGTCTTTCTTGTCCCGTAAACGCGCCAAGATATTTGGTATGCTTTTCTTTTCGCAGTGCCGCAGAAGCGACCTAAGCACAAGGTCAGCATCTTGCAGTATTAGGTCTAATAGCTATCTTCTACGCTTACAACTCGTGGAAAAAGTTCTCGAGAAAATGGATAAGTCGGATAGATGTCACAGCACGTGGAACATTCCACGGGGGATCTTCAGGGTGCATCCCCTCGCGATACTCAGGAATATCTGTGTCGACGTCTGATCGCAGGACGGACAGAGGTCGCCCGTGGAATATGGAGATTTTTCTATGAACTCGTGATTAGCTTTGTAAGCATTACATTAAGTGTCACGGTTTACCTCTCAAGCGAATAGGCAGTCCACCAAACACGATTTCGAGTCTCAATCATATCTGGACTGAAAACGTCACTGTTACACTTCCGGTGCATACCATTCTGCATAGCGAGTCGCACGGCGAGGTTAATATAGATATAGCCGAGGCCGGACGCATCGATTGGCAATGAGTAAAACCCGAAGAGTAGGCATGCCTGGACGCTTTCTAAGCAAGACGACTCAATAATTTCTGGCAACAGTCGAACCGCATTCTGATAGAAGCTGGTACCAATGTCATCTTCCGAAAACTCTCCATCACTCGTTGTATTATGAGTCGGCGAGTCCAGGTACGCATACTGTGTCCCAATGGCGAATACTGTAAGCATAATGCTTATGACAGCGGCACCCTTCCTACCAAAGCTGCTAGGGTCGTTATACAGGACGTTGAGGTTTTCGAAAAACCACTTCTTCCGGACGAAAAGGTAATGTGTTTCAGCATACTTGAAAAAGGTGTTAGCCAGAAACCTGGCTATTTGTCGCGGGGGGCAAGAGGAGAGGGCGGCAGATAGGTGACTATGGCCAGAACGCAGTTGTTGCGCTCGCCAATACTCGAAGACTCGTTGATCAGCATTATGAATGTGCTGTTTCAGTTAGCTTTCGTCCCGGGCAACATTCGGAATGAGTACCTGAGCAACTGATCGCCGGGTTTGATGTTCAATCTGGTGTTTAATACGCATAGAAAAATTCCAGTACGAGAATTCTCCAGAATAGTCTGCTCTATCTTAGCGTTGTTACCAAATCAAGCACTCATACAAGGGTACGAACGAGTAGTGGTATCTTCAACTGGGTCGATTGTACAAGCTTCATCATCTATAGAAAAACCATCCTCCTCTTCGGGTTCCAGAGGGGGTTCCCTGGGGTGCTCTTTGGTCGACGCGAGGGCATTTGCCATCTGGGAGAGATTGCCCGTATCAAGGGAAATTCCGTGCATCGTGTGTCTTAATATACGCTCCATATACCGTGAGCGCTCAGCTAGCTCTCGGACATCTACTTGTATGGCAGGAGATCTGCTTCTAACAACTGGTCAGGGAACGTCTAAGTAGCATGCCTAGAGCTGAAATGCACACCTAGGTATGTAGGCACGGAACTCGCGCACTCTTGATACGCGATTCTTAAACTCGCACGAGCGATGGAAATGGGAGCATCTACTGCAGGGGATGCCACCTTCACATTTTTCCTTCAGACGCCGGCATTCGTCGCAACTGCATGGCAGAATGTTAGTCTCGGTAATTTCAAGCAATACTCGTAGCTTCATGCCGCAAACTTACGCTCGTGCTGCGCGCTTTTTATCCGTCACCATTGCTTTATTCTCACACCGGAGGTAGGTTTTATTCCAAGCGACCTCAAGGAGTACAGTTGAGTCTTTTAATGCATATGGTTGCAATACAAGGAGAGAGAGTAGTCGGCGAGGCAGGTCAGTGCTAGATCACGGGATGCGGCCACGGCGATAAGGCTCGGGGGGTCCACCAATCATAAAGTGCCCCCTCCATCTGCCCTAATCGAATATGGTGTAGTATCCTAAATGGACTATGGAGACACTACTTTGCAGTGATAAAGTGGGGAAGATCTTCGTGAGGACTGCACACATCTTGGAGTCCGGAGTATGCGGCTCCATGTGTACGATGTAGACAACACGCAGTCGGGGTATGCAGAGGCAACAGCTGCCAGGTAGCGCTTCAAAAGGGATAAAGGAATCGGAAGAGATATGCTAGCGCAGTGAAGATTTCACGGCACCGCGTGAATAACCTCTTTTCCGAAGAGCTCTAGACAAAGCACCTGTTGAAACCTTCAGATCAAGTTCTTGAATGACCTTCGTGTATGGCAACCGTTTTGTCCGGTCAGAGGATGATAAAAACGTAATGATATCGTCTACTTGGGACGCGGTCAGTTTAGGTGTTTGGCCACGAGCCTTTTTAGGTGAATATGTTTGGGCTTGGCATGTATATTGCACCTGCCGATATGTTATACCGGGCAGGTGGTCAACGATTTGTTGATAGGTAAATCCCGCGTCCCGTAGAGTCAAGATACGTATTCGATTGTCTCGGTCGAGACGCGTCGAGTTCTGACGATCAGGAGTAGTAGGTCGAGCCGATTCAACCATGGTGAATCAGTCTATCGCAACTCGCCCGGTAGGTCAGCAAGCAGAGACTTGTTTTGAATAGCTTCACGCGTTTCGCTTGACGGGATTGTGCACTATACCATTTAAGGCAGTCGTTGCCCATGCTGACTAATCGGTATTGTTGGACTGTCTTCTATTGCACTTTTAAAATAATACTGGTCTTGACATGAAAAGCTATACACACAGTGTAGTGAACAATTCGGCGCAGCTATACTCTCGCACTGACTAAATGGGTGATTGTTCCTTGCTGAATTTAGCTTATAAATCGCTTAGTTGAACCGGATCTAGGAAGTAGCAGGAGAATAATATGATTATATATATCTGTTGAAGTATTGGATATCATTTTTTTTGTCTGTTTTTTTGAATTGTAGTAGATTTAGGAAGTAATATATTACCCAAACTGTTCAAATCGTCGACCCAGGAATCACCGTAATTCCGAAATGCAAAAACTTATTGCTACGTATATGTGCTGCAGAATAAGTAAGATAGTTGAATTCGTTAACTAGTCTCATTGCGGTTAAGCATCAACATGGAAATGAGGAGATGCATCACATGACCTAGGCTAATTAATGATGATGAGCCCTGCATCGCCCCGCCATTTGAACAGGTCATCGTGTCAATACTTTGCTTCCAGAAGTAAGGAGGAGAGTGCCTCAAACAACCTGCGTCAATGGAGGCAGTCGGAGCTGCATCAGCAATTTGTGGAATTGCAACAACTGGAATTCAATGCTCTATCAAGCTCATAACTGTTGCTGGCCTGGTCAAGTCTGCGCAAGATGAAATTACAGACATTGCAAAAGATGTCTTGGTGAATGCTAGTATTTTACAGCAATTGGGCCAGCTCGCAAAGGATAGAATATCGCACGAACAAACTGCGCTGTACACCAATGGCAACAATGACAAATCGAAGATACCAGATTCAGCCACTAGAGGCGATGCCGAAAGGAGCACTGAAACCCAACATGGAATGTTCAATGCAGCTGGTCTAGCAGTAGTCCTGAAGCTAGCTACAGAATGCAATGATATTTTCAGCAGGTTGAATGAAGCCTTACGAAAGACTAGTAAAGCACTGAGCGCGAATACTGACGGTCAAACACGGATCAAAGCGACTCAGGCGGGAATGGTACACTGGCCACTTACCAAGCCGCAAATAGATGGCATGCAGGCTCGACTGAGAGATGCCAAAGGGACACTGATGCTCATGCTCCAGGTTGCTATGCTACGTTATTCAGAAACGCCGATGGAGAGGTAAGGCGTTTTGCTAGATTATCAGATATTGGTCTAACATGTGTGGGCAATGTAGGAATATATCTGGGGCAATACTAAGCCCGTATTCAGAAGAAGAGCAGAACTTATTGAAGAGTTCTATCGTGGCCGCTAAGAAAGCTCGGCAATATATCTCAAACGAACGAGGCCCTTCGTGTACTCAGGATGTGTCTGCTTGGGCAACAGAGAAGACACCATCGGGGAATAGAATACAACTCGGGAGCATGGACCAGAGAAGTGAGAGAGCACGACAAAACAACACCCTAGTGCAGAATACTCAGCCAGAACAGGTGGGCGGTAGAAGGGATTTGCGGTGTGTTTTTCTGAACCACTAGGCACTTCTAACCAGCAGACAGCTAACTATATGGGTAGTACATCGGACGTTCAACTCACGAACCAGGCGATTTTCCGGAACGGAGAAGAAGAAACACCCGCACTGCAAGTAACGTCTATTTAGCTGCAGTCTGTTAATACCGTGCGCTAATTCCAGTAAAGTATGTTGAACATGCCGAGCATTACTGATGACAATATCATACACCAAGGCGCATCGACAACCAACAATCGGTCTGAGCAATATTATACTAACACCAATAGACCCTCAATATCACCCACCAATGAACCATTGATGACCCCACTCAGTGTATATTTGGCTTCCCCTAAACTACAAATTGCTTATGGGAAAGTTCATGTCGAGTACCAAACTCGCCTGCTAAGAATCTCACGCACAGAGATTGACTCCCAGATACAGCAGTGGAGAGATTCTTCCCACAGGACCGTGCTTGATCAGCTCCATGCTCTAACAGCCAATGAACAACAGGCACTGGATGCGATCAATTGCGGCCATAATTCTAAAAACCTGTTGGCAGCTGGCACACTTGAGTGGATACAATTTGGCGAGTACTTACCCGTCAATGGTGTGGAGCATATCATGGCGAGAAGCATGACCATTATCATCAGTTCCAAAGACCAGTCCTCAACAGAGAAAGAAAAGCCAGAGCCAATCCGGGGAGATGAGGATACACGGTATGGGAAGGAATCTACCACCTGGGTGAAAGTATTTTCCAATGTTTATCTCCACCCCAGTGAATGTTTCTGATGTGGTTATTCAGGTTCATCGCAGCCACATTGTGCCAGACACGCTTATTGCCTATCGTTTACCCTTTGAGTTCGACGAGGTATCTGTCCAATAATATTAGTCACTTGGTAGGATATGATTTCTAATATGTGGATTGTTAGGAGGATCCCGGATATGTGATTATCAAGCAGTGGATTCCAGAAGACCTTCAAGAGGAATTATTTGCCCACACCCGGAATTTACGAAACGGAAGATTTATTGAACGTAAAGTCTCAACTTCAACTAAGCTAAAGGTTGATGATAGGGAGAGAGATCAAAGGTTCGGATCCCGATTTCTATCACGGCTCAAAAGGGGGTTGGAAGTGGCGGGTCTCTACCGGCTCTACCGGAGGCGGATTGATGAGGAAGACTCACAGTCCGACACGAGCACCTCTCCAGAAAGGGTAGAGGGAGAGGCCAATTTTGATAGTATCTCGCATATTGCACGAGACGATAGTCGAATCTCTGTACTCGGTTCTCGTGTCTTCGAGGAACATCGTAGCAGTTTCCCCCAGACTCAGAATGGAGTGGGAAACTGCGGTTCGATAAAAGATCACGAGTCTAGTGCAGTCCCATTAAAATTCTTATTAAATGATGGAGGCAAAGTGAGCCAAGAGGATGTGGAAGGAATTGTGGGTGATCTTTTGTACAAGTATACTGCTGCATGAGAAATTTGGGCAGCTGTTGCCCAGATAACAGAGGACGACATTATCTACATTCTGTAAAGAGATCAGAAACGTAGTGAATAGAACTTTTGGTCAATAGTGAAACAACAGAAAACTGAATGTAAACGTGTGATTCTGATCGTACATAGCCTATCAAACTGCTCCATGAAAGGTATCCATATGTGTCTCTCAGCGTAGCCTCCGAGTAACATTTGGTAGGTACTGGAGTATATCTAGTCACTTACTATATGATATACCCTGGCAGGCTAGGCGTGGGAGTCGTGGTCGCCCCTGAGTCTTATAGGCGAACCATAGATATTCCCACTTGTATGCTAGGCTTCGATGATGTAAGCTAGCAAAAGGGCTGGAGCATTGTAATGGAAACACTAAGACTCAGCTGAGCCCTTCTGCTGTTGGTGTAGATTATAGCCTGAGCCCGTGGGGCACTCTTTGGAACGAAAACCCCGGATCCAAAATCTGGGTTGTTTCGGAAAGTGTCAAAATCTTGTGCTGGAGGCTGTGTATTTCATGACCCACATGTTCACATCACTAGGAATCAAGGGAAACACACGTGTGAATACGATGAATACGAGGGAAAATCATCTACCCCATATTCTTCACAAGGAGATCGACGCAAAGGCACCAGTGGGACTTCCGCATTTCTACTCAGAAGGGGAAAGGATCAGCTCCACGAATGCACATGCGTTTCTCGTGCTATCCAGATTGACCTGGTAATCTAACCCGTCCTCACCAAAATCTGTAGCTGATTCGATATTATCTGCTGTTATTGAGCTAGGGCTATGTGGGATTTCAAATTTATCCTTGTAGAAGGTGACAAAAACATAGATACGTTCCCAACGAAACATCGACCAGGGCCAATGCCGAGGCTATTGAGATGAAGTCACAGTCTGCCGTTGAAACTGTTGAGGGAGCCTTGATATTATATAGGAGGAAAATAATAACTCCTGGTGACAAGATCGACTAGCTGCAGGGATCGGGTTGTTTTCGGAGATGCGATTGTGTTCGTGACCAGTAGACTCTATACTATATTTGAGCCCTATCCCAGCAGCCCCGCATTTTGAGTCCCTATTAATTTGGCTGCAGGATTGCTAGTTGCATAGCCTAATGCGCTTCATTAAACCAGCCTAGACAAACCTCGGCTGCTGACAATAGTTCGTACTCTACTCTGTGCTGTGTTGACACGCATGTGCTATACTGTTGTAAGCAAATCACACCCAGGATTGGGGAATGACTTATTGTATCCCTACCTATCCAATCATCTTCATCTTGTTAAGATGATAGCCTACTTTAAGTCACGGCATTGACATTCGAGGATGAAGTGATATATATAGACGGTATGTCCTCCACCTTTGGTGTGGAGGAACATCCCACATAACACAAGATGGCCAGGCTAAGCCTTTTGTTGGCGCCAATCCTCGCCGTGCTGCCGCTTGTTTCGGCCTTCCCAGCCCAATTGCCTGCACGGAGCTCAGCACCTGCGCTACCATTGGATGACCCTTTCTATATACCCCCTGAAGGCTTTGAGTCCTCTGCACCGGGGACAATCCTCCGCCATAGGACCCCCCCAAACCCAATTGCAGCGCTCGGCTTCGCAAAGGTCAACATTCAAGCCGCACACCAGATTCTGTACCGAACAAGCGACTCTTCTGGCAATGCTATTGCAACAGTCTCCACCATCCTGATTCCCCACAACGCCGACTACTCCAAGCTGCTCTCGTACCAGGTAGCTGAAGATGCGGCGGATCCAAACTGTGCCCCATCCTATGCTCTACAGCTTGAAGCAGCTCATGATGGGATTCTGGGCCTGGTAATCCCACAGGTGGAATTGCTGTTCTTCGGCGCTGCCCTAGACAAAGGCTGGGTGGTGACTGTCCCAGACCATCTTGGACCCAAGGCAGCTTTCCTGGCCAACAATCTCTCCGGTCAAGCCGTGTTGGATAACATCCGTGCTGCCTTGGCGTCCTCGAGCTTTACAAACATTACTTCGGATCCTACTATCGCTCTATGGGGCTACTCTGGGGGCAGCCTGGCCAGTGGATTTGCTGCCGAACTTCATCCGACTTATGCCCCCGAGCTGAATATCGTGGGAGCCGCACTCGGCGGTACCGTGCCCAAGATACGACCAGTCATTGACGCGGTTAATAAGGGGCCGTTTGTGGGACTCGTGCCGGCCGGTATCCAGGGCCTGGCGAACGAGTACCCCGACATCCAGAAACTTATTGACGATGGCCTTAACCCTTCCAAGAGGGCTGAGTTTAACAAAACCCAGAATCTGTGTCTTTCGGGAGACATCATTCAGTACTTCGGCAAGGATATCTACGAATATGCAAACGACCGGGATATCTTCGATCAGCCGGCAGCTGTAAAAGTAATGAACGCCAACGCGATGGGACAGCACGTCCCCAAGATTCCCCTCCTGATCTACAAGTCAGTTGGGGATGAAATAAGTCCCGTTAATGACACCGATTCTCTTGTTGAAACCTACTGCAAGGGTGGAGCTAGTGTCGAGTACAAGCGTGATGAACTCTCCGAACATGCATCCCTGGAGATTACAGGGTCCGCCGATGGAATGCTCTGGCTTATGGATCGTATGAACAACAAGCCTGTCCAACAAGGGTGTACGACCTCTACTGCGGTCACTGGGCTTGCTGACCCCAGGGCCCTTCTAGCCTTGGGACAGGAGATCCTTACTCTCCTCAAGGCCATCCTATCGGGGCCGATCGGGCCTGGTGTGGTCGGTTAATCCTTCTGCGGGAGAGAGTAAAGCTGGCCCCCGGTCATCGTAGGAAAAGGGCACTGTTCAAAGCAGAGGCACGACCAATATGCGTCATACATTGGCATTTAAATGTTGGTTTATATTGGTAACTGTTGGGGTGTGATAATGTATCTAACACTACATGTCAATGATCATTTGCTTCAATTTTCTAATGCAGAATATGGAAGTATTCTCACAATTAATATCTTCCCAGTGTCAACATTCCATACCAGTAGCTCTGATCCAACCCTACACTAAATACGTGCGGCCAGGGTGCCCACCGTCTCCTTCAGAGGATGCTCATGTCGTTTAGTCCGACTCCGTACCTTCTCGCCGTCTGCCGGGCTAACATAGCGCGCCTCCACGGCCGGATTGTAGCCCAGCGCAGACTTCTGTCGGACCTCTGCATCCGAAAGAGTTGGATTACTCTGTCCGTCAGCCCGCTTGTACACGGTCACCACGACCGCACCACCAAGACCCAGATTATGTTGCAAAGCAACATCAGTCCCCTTAACCAAGCGGTTGGTAGCCCACCCCCGTAACTGCCAAGTGAGTTCTGCACATTGCGCCACGCCAGTAGCTCCAAGGGGGTGACCCTTTGAAATGAGTCCACCAGAAGGGTTGATGACCGGTCCGCGACCACCGTATGTGATATCGCCGCGGCGAACCATCTCATGGGCCTTACCCGGCTCCGCGAAGCCAAGCGCATCAAGAAGTAGAAGTTCGTTTGACGAAAAGCAGTCGTGCAGTTCACACACCTTGACATCTTTCGGTGTGACGCCCGCTTCTGCCATGGCGCGCTCGGCTGCCTGCTTGCTCATCTGGAAGCCGACCAGATCGATCGCACTCCTCGAGTACACCTCCGGTCCGTCTGTCAGGAGCTGCTGTCCAGCGATGAGGATGGCCTGGGATTTGAGCTGGGGTCTGGCATCTAGGAACCGCTGCGAGACTATGACAGCGGCCGCGGCACCATCACTGGTCGGACTGCATTGCAACTTTGTCAACGGGGCAAAGATAGTGCCCGAGTTCTGGATCTGCTCAAGGGTGTACGGGGTCCGGAACTGTGCATATGGATTCCTTTGTGAATGTTCATGCGAGATACGGGCAATCTCTGCAAAGTCCTCGGCCTTCGCCCCATACCTGACACACATATTAGACCCGGCACATACCAACAGAATAAAGCGACAGACGACTCACTTAGTCATGTATTCCCTCCCCGCATGCCCAAAATACTGCGCATTCCTCGGCGCCGGATCCTTGCCATACACCTCCTCCATCAGCCTCGTCGACGGCCCAACCGCACTGGGCCGATCATCCCAGACACTCTTAATCGACCCCGGTCGCATCTGCTCAAACCCGACGACGAGCACACAGTCCGCCGAGCCACCCTTCACCAGCGTCCGCGCCAGATGGAGACCAGCCGAGCCCGTCGCACAGTTATTGTTCGTGTTGTAAATGGGGATGCCCGTCATGCCGAACTGGTAGAAGACCCGCTGGCCGGAGGTGCTGTCTCCGTAGCAATAGCACGCAACCCCCGTTTGCACGTCGTCGTAGGTGATCTGGGCATCGAGCATGGCCTTGACGCCCGCTTCGTAGCCGAGTTCGGGGTATTCGCGCGTGCGCCGTGGCTTGAGGAATTGGGTCATTCCGACGCCTAGCACGTAGACGTTGTTTGTGTTGGTGGAACTCATTTTGTTTTTTTTTTCTGTGCGTCTGTATAGTCTCTGATTGATCTGATTCCAATACTGTGGGTGTGTACGCGATATATGTAGTTGAGGTTATGGTGTGGTTGATGGTGAGGGGAGCTCACCCATTACCCCGGACCGAGGTTCCGGTTTCCCCTCACCACAGAGTTCGCCCCTCATATGGGCCTCTCTGCCTGTCCAGCTGTCTTGATATAGGCTTTATGCCTTCTGTACCTTGATCGCCCCGAGGTAGCGTCGGTCTGGTGAAGTAGACGTGAGAAGGCTACTGCAGGACTAGCGTAGGACCTGTCTGAGCGGATTCAATGCGGCTTTGTCGCCTACGTCAACATCTGGACATCAATGCGACTCACTAGTTCGAAAGGCTATGCTTCGTACACTTTAAATAAGAATCGTATCTCATTGAGTAGTAAGACCGAGGAGAGATTAGAGGGACTAATTATACGTATCGTACGCTGGACAAGTCCACCACCCACACCGACTGCATCTCATCCCAATTCAACTAAACCCCGACCACATAACAGGCTCATACACCTACAATCCCACCAAATCCAAGTATGGTACTCACTCCACCTTCTCCCAAACAAACTGCGTACTATCCGGATCGCGCATCTGCATAACCAGCAACTGATAACTATCATTCGTCGACTTCAAGATCCGCGCCTGCGCCTTCTCAAAGTCCTCTCCGTCCAGCAGCACCGGCCGCATCCGATACTCGCGGAACAGCGCCGCCATGGCCGCTACGATCTCCACCTGCGCGAACTTGCGTCCGGCGCAGTTCTGCACGCCCGCCGACCAGGGGAAGTACGCTCCCGCCCGGGGTTCCATGATCTCTTCGCGCGCCAGCTGCTCCTCCCGTGTAGTGGCGGCCTCGCCGCTTGGTGTGGGGGTCTCGACCCACCGGCGGGGGTTCCAGGTGGTAGGTTCGTCGGGCCAGTACTTCGGGTGTGTCTGGGCGGCGAGCAGGCTGGGGAGGACCACGGTGCCCTTGGGGAGGACGATGGTGCGGTTGCTTTCAGGGAGGCGGAGGCTGGTTGTTGGGGGTGCGACGGATTTGGGTAGGGCGAGGATAGGTGGGTAGAGACGGACGGTTTCGAGCTGTTGGCGGATGAGTTAATATATTGGCTGGGGGATGGAAGGGTTGAGGTACTCACCACCACTGCTAGACAGCGCTTGAGTCGGGGGAAGGCCTCCTTATAATCCCATGTGTCACGGTCGGGGTTGGGGAAGACGGTGCGGATCTCCTCGGCGATCCAGTCCTGAATATGGGGGTATGCGGCAAGCAAGAAAAGGACGTAGGTCAGGGAACCGGCAGTCGTATCATGGCCGGCGAAGTTGATCACGTAGATGTTGCCCAGGATTTCGTCGATGGTCAGGACGGTCTTATTGCTCTTGGGATCGACCGTGGATTCGCGGACGAAGGAAGACATCAGCGTGCCGGTGCCTGGCTGGCCTTGATCGAGGAGCGCTTTCTCCGTGTTGAACATGTTGAGCATGTGTTGCTTGAAATCCTCGACGGCCTGACCGGCGCTACGACACCAGCTGGGAAAGATGGGTAGTTTGAGCACGGTGGGGGGAACCAGCATGATGACAAACGTGTTGAGCATGACGGTCTTCAGCGACTGCGCATAGGAGCGGGGATCCTCCGACTGCGCTTCTTGGGCGCTCTGGAAGCGCGTTGACCGTTTGAAGCCGGTCGCTGCGAGAACATTGAGGGCCAGAGTGCGTGTGTCGGTTCCCAGTCCTCCAGATGGTCCCGCCGTGGTTCGCGAGGCAAGCATGCTCCGTGCCTGGGTGAGGGCCTCGCGCCAGACGAAGCTGTTCAGGCTTTCGTTAAAGGGAGCGGCGACGATCTTGCGGTGGCGCTGCCAGTCCGCGCCCTCGGTCTGTGAACAAGTTAGATTTTATATTCGGTGGGAGGAGGATCGTCGACCAACCGTGGCAACATTTGGACCGAACACATTTAGCAGTGCTAGTGAGGTCAGCGAATAGCTCCCAAACATTGATGATCAGGCCATACTGAAGAGCTCAATTGGGCGCACGAAATCTGCGCGACGCGCGATGATGTCTGTAATGGCGTCCGCGTCGCAGATGTAGACAAACACCTCATTGGGGGTTGCGATCGCCCACGCATCGCCCATTCGCATATGCGACTGGGCCTTGTCGGTAAACTGCCAGGTGCGGCGGCCATAGTGAGTGATGCGACCGAATTCAAACGGGAGGAGCCCGAGAATAAAGAAGATGACCGGCTCGAGCAGGATCCAGAGCGGATTGACGGGACTGCAGGGAATGACGTGGTAAGGAATGCCGATTTTCTGGATGCGGCGGATGTTGCCGACGAGACAGACGACGCTGTACAGGGTCCAGCCCACGAGGGCCAGCGCGATGACAAGCAACATGGCCGGACAATTAAGGTGGCGGGGGGAGGTCGCGCAGGAGGTAGAGAGCAAAGGTAGAGAAAGAAGGGAAGAAAGGCTGGAGCGAAGGAACAAACAGAAAGAGAAAAAATGCGCCAAGACGATGACCAGGCGATTGCCAGGCACGGAAGTCGGGAGTTGCGAAGTTGCTAATTTCACCAATGCCAGTGGTACGACACTTGGAGGTGAAACAATGAAGCCTGTCAGCACTAATGCAGCCCTGACATCTAATCCCTGCTTAGTCGGGGGGGCCAACGGAGGCGAAGCTGAGGCCTTGACAGCATCCAGCAACGATCGGCGCCTCAGTCGACGAGTAAGAGGACAAGGATATCAGCAACAGCGGCAGAGCCTTTTGTTCCTCCTTCGAAACGCCAAGCGCGCATCAAAACCTCCTAAGAATAACCCAAGCAAACGCCAAATCCCCCCAAGGCAGACAAGCCGCAGCACGGACGGTCCAGTTGGGGTTCAGGGAGTCATGGGATGCGGGCCGGCCCTAGAGCAGGAATCGACCGCCAATTCCTTTACATAATTAATTATACAGCAGCGTCGTCAGCTAATGTATGTACAATTCTCATTTCTCATTATTCATGTCTAATTCTTATTCCCCTCCTTCCAATTCAACGTTACATGGAGATCATCTCCTGGAACCGGTCGGGAAATGCCCAAAGTGACCAGACTTTCGTCGCGCCGGGGGAAAGGCGCCTGCCAAGCCAGCTGCATGTCGTATCGATTGAGCATCAGGGCCGCCAATCCAAAGATCTCCAGCTCCACAAAGTATCGCCCCGGACAGTAGTGGCGACCCCCGCCGTACGGGAAGAATGTGGTTTGAGCCAAACCAGGCTTTTTCAGAAAGCGATCGGGATTGAACGATGCTGCATCTGACCCATAGGTGTCTGGATTATCATGCAGCTGGCAGGTTGGGATCACCGCGATACTGTTTTTGCGCAGTCGTTTACCCGCGATGGCGGTGTCGCGGACGACTTGTCGAACGATAACATCCCGTTTGGTCAGCCGGAGGACCTCGTGGTAGATCGACGAGAGTTGTGGGCATCGCTTGGCCAGATAGGTCCAGTCCAACTTGCCGTCTGGCCCGACCGCCGGCGCTGTCTCCTGGCGCACTATTTCCCGCAGTTGTGGGTCGTAGAGAATGTATGCAAGGACCCAGTATGCCGCTTTATAGGCATTGGCATCACCACTATTAGTCCAGTTATTAGCCTCACTTGCCATGCGATCGGAGCGACGGAGGTACTTACGCCCAGCAGATCATGACCAGCATGGCAGCCCGGTCATCCTCATGAATTCCGAGCTCGGCATATGTTTCTAGCAAAGTTCGGATGACGGGCATCTCGTCCGGTCGCGCCTCGGGTGGCAGCTGCAGGTAGGTCTTGAAGGCGGAGGCGTACTGGCGCAGCAGACGACTGACCTCCGTGGTATCGACCAATCGAGACCGGTGGACGAGCTTCCAGAGTTCATCCGTGAAGGTCCGCATATCGACCGCCATGTCGGGGTCGATGGCCAGAAGCGCCCGGTCAAACAGGACGATCTGGTTGGCGTTGGCAATAAAGTCTGCGCAGATGTCATAGAGCGAGATGGCCTCTGTCTCCGAGCTGACCAGGGATGGATAGGCGCCCACGAGGCGGTCCCACGAGAGCAGTTCATCGAGAGCCCCTTGGTATCGCTCCAATAGCATATTTAGCGTCGGGCCCGGAACCAGGTCGTGCTTGAACAGGTCTTGCGTCAAGTGGATGAGATTCTTTCCCTTCGGGTTCACTCGGGTGGGTGTGTTGCGCTGCCACAACGTATGCAGACGTTCAGGCGCGCAACCGAAGGCTAACAGTGCTCGGTCGAGGAATCCGTCGGTAGTCATCGCTTGCACGTCGGCGAAGAATGGACGAGTGTCTGCCGGCGAGGTGATCACGTAGTATCGATCTCCGGCGATGATCATGCTGAATGGCTGGAGTGTCCCGAAGCGCTTTCTACAAAAGTGATTAGCGTTGTGCATCAATTGGGTCGTTCACAGGTGGGGACTTATGCACGCACAGGGCCATTCTGATGAGTTGGTGCGAATCCTTGAAAAACGCACCCGCATGTCCTAATGAATATGCACGTCAGCAACTTCTCTCCGAAAAGCCAATTGCTTCCAGAATTTACCAAAGTCTGCTGGGCGTTAGCGATGGTTCTCCAACTCCTTCCCAAGGGACCTTACAAGGAATCCAGTATGGTAGCTCGACGGGCTCGTTCGGCCGGAAAAGTGGCAGGATCGTAAATCTCCAGATCCGCCAGAAGATCCAGGTCGCTAGCACCGTGAACCCCACGCGCATCCAGATAGAGCTGGAGGCCCAGTACATCTGGGCCCCGGAAGCGAGTGTGGCTATCAAGTCTTGAAGCATCTTCGCAGGGTGTGCGTTGTAACTTCCTGTGTGCCCTTGTGCTGCGGACCCCAGCTCCCACGAGGGGGGCTGGTCGTGTTTATACCCTCATGGGCAAGGCACATGCTGGCCACGCATTCCACGTAGTCATGGTAGGCATTGTAAAGAGGAGGGGTTCCAGCGGCCCCCAATTGATTAACTTCAACGACTAGAGGGCCTGGTGGAGTCAGCGCTAAAAGCATGATGACATCTATGACAGTTGTATCATGTCAGAAATGGCAGGCGTAGCAAGTCGGAGAGGGCGAGGGAATTCGTGCGACACCGTTCCATTCGCTAGAGATATAGGGTAATAGGATCCACAGGGAACCCTAGTGGTGCGGAGAATGGCGCACTAATTTTATACAAATTATAACGCTCTGAGCCTTGCACATCTGTCACTGGCATGTGCCTGGATAACAGGCATCGGCACGACGAGATAATTGACGTGAGCCGTCGGAGAGCGGAGGTCAGCAAGACTCTGCATTGGCATGGTTGGCTAGTCCGAGACTTTGCTGACCTCAGGCCATAATTAGTACAGCTATTTGCGGCAGAGTGCGCCTTGTGTCGCATCAGACTAGAGCCGATGTGCCGTCACTGCCATGATTTTCAGCCCGGCCAGACACTAATCAATAGTGGATCGTCCGTTTCCCCGAATGGAGCCAGACCACGAACCGTGGACGCTAGACTAGTCCGTGCATAGGCGCTTGGCAACGACTATTGGACATTCCCCTGCTATTGTAATTTCCACGGCATAGACATGGCTCACGGCAAGCGGAGCCAGGTGGGGGCTATGTATATAACTCCAGTAATATCATAGTTTATCGACATGGATATAGCAAACAGCAGGGGTTCCCAACGCGGGAAACCCAACACTGGAATACCACCAAAGGGGGTAAATGCCCAATGGAACGTATGTATTGTAGCTAGGATCAGAGTCTTTCACCACGTAAAACAAAATGCGGCCGTTGTCGCCTTCATTGCGACTGCACTCCCATCCACCTTCCTCGCTAGCCACGGAAAACATCTCCTATGATGGATGCCGAAAAATCAGCGGTTGTGGAGACATCCGCCGTGTCAGCAAAATCGCCAGATAGCTATCTCTCTGGTTGGCAGCTTGCTGCGGTCATTTTCTCGCTCTTTCTTGGGGTGTTTGTGGTCTCCTTGGACACGAGCATCATTGGAGTCGTTATTCCGTCCATCTCGTCTCATTTCCATGCTCTGGACGACGCTGCCTGGTATGGCAGTTCGTACCTACTTACGATTACGGCCTTCCAGCCGCTGATGGGAACCATGTACAAGTTCTTCAAAGTGGAGCTCGTCTTCCAGATCTGCCTTGTGGTGTTTGAAGGTTCGTGAAGCATGGACGATTAGGGGGCCAGTGCTCATTTAACGTTATCACGATCTAGTGGGCTCCATTCTGTGCGCTGCCGCCACAAACTCGCCCATGTTCATCGTCGGTCGGGCCGTCGCCGGTACGGGGGCTGCTGGCATTCTCCAAGGCGCCCTCAGCATCATCGCCATAACAGTCGTCTTGGAGAAGCGACCGCTGTATCAGGGCATCGTGATCAGCGTCTTTGTAATTTCCGTCTGCGTCGGACCTGTATTAGGCGGCGCGTTTACCACCCATGGTATCTGGCGCTGGTGTTTCTGGATGTATGTATATCCATTTCTCTCTTTACGTCTCATACTAGAAACCGTGCGCTGAGAGCTCTACTGACTGCGACTAGTAATGTTCCCATCGGTGGAGTGACTCTGATTCTCCTTTTATTCGTCCTCCGGATCCGAAATGCCGCGAACGACAACCGATCTCTGCCGCTAAAGGAGAAATTGAAACATATGGATCCTATCGGTTGTATAGTCTTCATCGGTGCGGTCTGCTGTCTTCTGTTGGCCCTCCAATGGGGAGGCCAGACGAAGCCCTGGCGCTCCGCCACCATTATAGGGCTTTTCGTCGGTTTTGGCCTCCTGTCAATCTTGTTTCTCGGCATTCAAGTTTGGCGGAAAGAACGGGCGTTGATTCCACTACGTGTCCTCCGGCAGCGGTCGATATGGACGAGCGGGGGAGTGCTCTTTTGCCTGGGCTCGGCCACCTATACTGTGAGTCCAATGCAAACTCACGCGGATGCCGCTAACCATCCTTCAGGTCACCTACTACATGCCGTATTACTTTCAAGCCGTGCAGGGTGCAGACGCAGTCCACAGTGGAGTAGACCTCATCGCTGTGTTCATCCCTCAGATGCTGGCAGTGATTGTGACATCCGCCCTTGTCACCCAATGGGGGTATTATGTATGTTGACAGCCTCGCTCCAGCTCCGGAACCGATTCCAGCTTACAAAGAGATATGCATAGGTCCCGTACATGATCCTTGGCGAGTTGATCTGCATCGCTGGAACTGTAATGCTTACCAGGCTGAAGGTGGAGTCGTCCACTGTATATTGGGCAGCCGCTTTGGTTGTTCATGGGCTGGGGATGGGATTAGCAATGCAGCTGCCTTATACTGCTGTGAATGTAGTCTTACAGTAAGTACATAAGCACCTAATCACCTATCTAAAGCTGACCATAGTCGCAGTGAGG